GTGTGTGTGTGTGTGTGTGTGTGTGTGTGTGTGTGTGTGTGTTTCTTCATCACTCATGGGCTACCATAGCTCAGACTCATGACACCTTTCAGAGAAATGTAATTCTGAAGTGGAAGGAAAAGATATCCTGTCACTCTGTGCCAGTAATATATTTTCCTAAACCTACTTTGAAGAGAAAGGTTGGCGATGAGAACAACCAAATTCAAGAAGCAGAGAGCGGAGAGGCACCCCGACATAACCTGAATGCACATAGAATGTTGCGTTGCTTAAGAAATTAGATGCTGAGAAGTATGCAAAGTACCAGAGAGATGCGAGAGAGGACCGGGTTACCAATCTTGTTCATGTTCTGAAGAACCGTCAAAGTTCTGAACTGTTATTCTTCAAGATTGAGAAGGTTGTATTAGTTGTACTTTTTTTAAAATACTTTTTTGTTGAATACTTGATGCCAGACTCAAACCCAGACCCTATCACCACATAAGTTGATTTTGTTCTCAAAGTCCTCAACCATTTTTTGTTGTAGAAGTCTCTCAGTGAGCATTAGTACCAAGGAAGGTTGACCTTGGTTAGTGAAGTAGTTATTCTTGCCACTCGTCTATAAGGGCTCGATTTGTGCAGCGTGCGACAAATAGCTGTCCCGTGGACAGATTTGTCCCAGTATTCTTTTAACAGACTTTTGAGACCATCACAGTACAGATTCATTTCTACTGAGACTCGATTACAGACGGGTGGACTCTATTATCATCGCCAGTAACTTAGGTCAACATTAGATCATTCCGAAATCATCAGGGAATTTCTGGAGTGAGTTGGCCGCACATTACAGTTAAGTGTCTGAATAATATTGTATGCCCCGCTTTTCTTTTTCTAAAAAAAAAGTGAAAGTATCTATCGTCTGAATTTCATTCCACTTCACGATTGTGTCACAAAAGAAATCCAATATTATATCTTTTTGTCTGAACCCTGAAATATGCCAAAAGGTCAAAAAGTTCAACGGGCTGAAATACTTTCTCAAGCCACTGTACTTTGGCTCCGGATTGTTAATGTAAATCTTGTTTCACAGTTCAACAGCTGTCAACACATGCACCAGATACATCAACTTCCTTTCTCCTTCCAAGCCAAGTTCCTTTTTGGCTCAGTCCCAGCCATTGGAATCAGGCTATGTTGTATACGTCTCATTTCCGCAGAGCCCAATTACATTGTCCTATGTTTTTCTTTCTTTTTTAATTTCCCCACACTGTGTGCGCCTCTTTGCGCTTGTGCTTGTTCTGCTGCGTGTGACACAGTTAAGTCCATCCTCGACGACACGATGCCTCTTTAATGAACATTTTCAATCCCCAGCTAAATGGCCGAAAAAGCTCATTTCCGGGTGCTCGCCCACACTCGCGTCGCGCCAGATGCTTCATCTGCACACGCATGCATTCCCACATTTCTCCATTGACTATCTATGTGATCGCAGCACCCGAAATGCTCAACTCCCATTCAGTCTGACTGCAGCATGAGAGCTAGGGTGAAAAGCTCTGTCATCTCGGAGCCACTCAAGAGTAGAACCACTGCTTATCCATATTGAGAGGAGCCAGATAAGGTGACTTGGGCATCTATTTAGAATGCATCTTGGATATTTCCCTGTTGAGGTGCTCCAGGCACGTCCCACAGAGAAGAGACCATGGGGATGATACGTGACATACTGGAGAGACTATAGGCCCTATTTTGGTAGACTGTCGTCTGTGCTCAGCATAAAAACGGGCACGTCTTTATTTTGGTGTCACGACAAGTCTAGTTTAGCATGTTTGAGATGGGTTCCGGCTCACGGACATGCCATGCCCCCGACGCATCTGACGCATTTGGTCACAGAAAGTAGACTGTGCTTGGTGTAAAAACGGGGGCAACTTCATTTTTGTGCTGGGGCAAGTCTTGTTTAGCGTGCTTGTGAATTTGATAGACGACACTGCATGTGTCTTGACATTCCGGCGGACAACGGGCCTTTTCTTTTACATTCTCCTCGCTTGTCGACCAATTTGGTGAGAAAAAAAGTAGACAAAATGTTAGATTACCTAAAAACTACGTCTAAGTCCATGGTGGTGTAATGGTGTAATGTGATTTTAGTGTATTTAATCAAGGCGCAGGCAGACGGATTTGGCGTTCTGCGGGCGCATGGTGGATTTCATCATAATTTTAATTCATAAATATGACAAGATCATAGGATAATCCCTGTGAATCATTGTAGAAAGCAATTCATTGAGGAAATTCTAATTGTTACCACCTTAAAAACATTTTAATAGAACACCTTGACCTCGTGGCACGGGGCAAGTATGTTTTGGTTCACACACAGACACACGGTCGTAGGTGCAAGTCGGTCTTCTGTCCTCCATGTCACATGTGGCACACTACATAATCCGCAAGGGGAGATCTTGCTGTTTACCTGTACAAACGCACTTTGCGCATGCCAATGTCATGCATGGACCCCAGTGAGTCTATTTCTGTTTCTGCAATGTCAAACATGGCACGCACTCTGACCGCCCAGATTTGAATGCAAATGAGTGATTGGCTGGAAGTTGCCTATGTTCGATTCCACAATGGTGATCAACAGTGCAAACACCCAATTACACCCAATTCTGCCTGTGCAAAGTCTACGACAGTGGTCAACAACCTTTTTATTTTTTTATTTTTATTTTTTTATGAGTGATTTAGCTGCTGCTAAAAGATGCGACAGTGGTCAACAACCTTTTTATTTTTTTATTTTATTTTTTTTATTAAGAGTGATTTAGCTGCTGCTAAAAGATTTTTTTCTCCGTTTCAGCTTTCAGTTGTAGTTCTACAATTGCTCTATTTCACTCTTCTTTATTTGTTTTTTGTTTGTGAATGCTGTGTGCTTGTTTTGAAAATGTCTTTCAAAAATGAAATTTTGTTGTTCAATAATTTGTCCCCATAAATCAAGCAGACCAGTAATCCAGCTTCATTGGCAGTGAAGGCAAATTCATCTGTCCTCGCAGAGTAAACTTGCTTTTTTTTGTCAGAAATTTTTGGCTTTTTTTACTCATGGTTACTGAATGGGTCACACACTCGTTACTGAATGGGTTGCACACTTTAGAGCCCGGCGGCAGGCAAAGGCGAGGGCAACAAACGTAATCGTCAATAAAATGCCACAATAATCATGTGTAAATAGAAATCAAAAAGGAATTATAGTTATTCATTTTAATTTTTTAACATTAGAGCATTGGTTATTAACACCCATCTTTCCACGGTCCTCCCTTTTTGGTTATCCTGGGATCTCCCCCAAGACTATCCCATTGTGGGTCAGTGTTTAACCTTGTTAGAGGTACCTAACCCAACCAGTTCATTTGCACACTCACCAAACCCTTCCTTAGTGAAAAACAAAAATACGACTCTTTACAAATTCAAGACATAAAAACACATATATTAAAAACAGAAATAAAGTAAATACAATTTCAAGACATACCTATAGGTTTTTTTTTTTAATTTTACGACATACTATCAAGACTCACACGTTGACTACTGAGTGAACTAAATTTTCCCGCTGCGCTGATAGGACTAGCAATGTAATGTGATCATCTGCAGCCGGTAATGGCCAAGCGGGCATGTCATAACTAATTGTACATGTTGAGTCGGGTGTGTCTTAACCTCGATGGCAGAGGCTCCGTCGAACCCCTGAGACCATTTCACCGAAACCCTAGGGTTCGACTGAACCCAGGTTAAGAACCACTGCACGAGAGGGAGGCGCAACAAAGAGGCTCAAGAGCCGTGGGTTGCTGACATCTGGTCTAGGAAATAAGAATGAGAAAAAGAAAATCTTTATTCATAGCCAAAGAAAGAAAACTCCATGGATGCATACATACATTTAACACTGTGCTTTGCGCTAGACACGCTTGGCATAAAAATAGGGCCCAATGTCTCATTTGCCTTAAATTCATATCAGGCGCACTGACAAAAAAAATCGGACATGTACATTAGTTGTACATGGTTAAAATGTGTTAAACTAAAATGTACCATTTGCGTGTTTTTTTAATGTGTGATGTTCGAGTATGTAAAATGAGGACTTGCTAAAATACAGCAACCATCTAAGTTTCCTTTTGATAAAGTCTTTTAGCTCCTTGACAATGTTAGTGAATATAAAATGGTTATGTTCCAACTGGATCCTCAAGAGAGAACGATCCTGGAAAGGTTGGACCTCTGTCCCCAAAATCAGTCACTGGGTCTGAACCCTTTCATGCCCAAATAATTACAACATGTAACCTGATAAGCTGTCCACTGTAGTTACACTGTTATCACTGCGTGTTGGATATACTGAGTATGTTAACGCAGGTCAACAGCAAGCCAAACGCAAACCTTCATGAGCCAGGAAACTGAGCGTCTTGCTCCTTCATTATGCTCGTCTTGACAGCATACAGTGAACAACTGTGACATCGCCTCGTTGAAAATGTTGAGTGAAACAAATTTAAAACATGCATTAGCCTCTTGTAATAAAATAAATACAACACTTGCCCAGTACCAAACAACAGACCTAAATGCAGCTCTAAGTGTGACAAAAAAAGAATCATTTTCGCTATCCTTTCGCATGCTAATTGGACCGTTAGCACCAATTTAGCGGCATATTGCTACGTTCGTACACAGTGCTCCGAGCTAGCAAGTTTCAGGGACTACACTTGACGAAAACGATCTCCGAAACTGATTTCTAAACACCGCTAAAAAACAATCAAACGTACAGCCATTGCTGTCAAAGGTGTACAGAAAAGGAATGTAACACAGGAGTAGCAATTAGAACAACCACAGTCAGACTTTCTGCAACGACTTGTCGGACGTCTGCTACCCACAATGCATTGCGACTACTAACAACGTTCTCAGAATAAAATACGGGTAAACAAACGCTGACTAGAATGATATTAGTTTAAACACAATTACCTTTTGCGTGGAATAACATGAACTATGACGTTTCACATAATGAAATGTTATCAACCCTCCTTTTTGTTAAACCTTGATGAAACAATTGTGAAATGTTTACTTTGGGCAGAACAGTAGTAACGGGTAAAGGGTTAACATTGTTGTTGTTTTTTTTTCTTTTTGTACTTGTAATTCAGGAGGGTTACTCGGGTTTCTCCAGCTGCCAAGGATGTCACAGATGTGAATGCAGGCCAGCTTCTCTTCGTCCCACCTGCCATTCTCTCACTCACAGCTGTTTGTGCCGCCCGGGCGCCGGAGGTCGTTACTGTGAGAGGTGCCTCCCAGGCTTTTGGGACTATAGTGCCTCTGGCTGCAAGAGTAAGTTGTCTAAAGATGATAGATCATGCGAATGTTCTCAATTGCTCTTGCCGAAACAGTCTTTTCCCATCTGCAGCCAGTACTGCTAACATATAGTAACAATGTATCTCTCAGCCAGCCAGAAGCACATTTTATAGATCCCTCGCCCCGCTGCTCCGATCTCTAACAGCTGCAGAAATGTTCATCGTCCTAGAGCCAAAAGCTATAAAGCTGTACAGTATAATATGGAATGCGTGTTTATGTTGTTCTACAGAGTGTGACTGTGAGAGCGGTCATTGTGATATGCAAACAGGAGAGTGCCTACCAGAGCCTGCAACGGTTAACCTGTGCAATATCAGTAAGATGAATTAACTCCAGTAGCAAATCAACAACACCATAACCAGTTTTGATCCTGATCAAATACCTCTCAATTCTTTGCAGGTTGTGATGAATGTATTTGGCATGTTATCGGAGACCTGCGGCTGTCCAACAAAACGCTGGACCATTTGAGGGTTGGAGTGTTGAACATTTCGACTGGGGCTGCTGTGAATGACAGAGTCAAATACTATAACTACACTGCTCAACACCTGCAGGTACATAAAAAAAGATATGTCACCCCAAAATATTTTGAAAGCCAAAGTAAGAAATAGTACACATAGTTGACATTTGGAATGGCTAACGATATTGAACTGTTTTTCTTTGTGTGTTTCAGAATCAGTTCCATGCCTGGAGAAACAAACTGTCTGAAATAAAAACAGAGACTGGGGGAGTGGAAGACTCCACACAAGATATCGTATCATACATAAAAAAGCTCAGTGAATCGGTCAGTGAATTTGTATTTCGATAGAATCAGAAATGATGAAATGAAAACGCGCTAAATGCCTATTTTGATTATTTGTGCTTTATGCTTTTACCAGTCTTTTTTTTTTTTACTTGTGCTTTGAAGGTTGCAGGATTGTGTGGACTGTTCAGTGTCGAACACAGAATTGATTGCATGTTCAACATTGTGTTTAAATTGATAGGAAAAGACAGCGAAGAGCCTGGGGAACCAACTTGATGAGGATACGCTGCAAAACTTAATGCACGCGGAACATTTTAGCAAAAACCTCACGGACTTCAACATGCGCATTGAAGGTACCATGTCTCTTGACTGAAATACCACAAATCCATCTGGAGTTGTTGCACCAGACCTTGATCCACATAATAAGAACCTAATTTTAAGACTTAAGTTTAGCTTTGTCGTGTTTATACCCCCAATGCGTCTCTGTGCATTCCAGACAACAGATAAACCGAATGATTGCGCCTATAATAATCTTTAGGCAGACCAGAAGCAAGACATCTGTAGCTGTTTAACTGTTACGAGATGTGCATCGCAAAAAGGCAGATGTTGTCGCTTGGCCCAGCTCTGATGCCATCCAATGGCAGCGTCCAGCTTTACCGACACTGTTCGCAATCACATAACAAGTCCAAAAATTCTTAAGCCAAATACAAGACAACATTCTTAATTTTCAGAGAAAATTCTTGATAATTATATATATAGACCCAAACAAAAACAATCATGTGGTAAGAAACTAGTGTGTGATTTACCACGAAAAGACGCTGACAAAACACAGCAGGGTAAAAGATTTTTTTATTATATTTTATGTATGTTTATGAGTGTACATATGTGTAAATGTAATGTATTTTAACTTACGAGAACACTTATTTATTCATGATTAGTTATTTGATTGACTCTTGAAATATTTGGTCATCTGTATGCCTAACCCTTGACTCCTAAACATATTCCTTTTTTTTTTTTTCTTTTTGCCATGGCTTACGCTTCCTCTCTCTGACCCTGCACATAATTAATACTTTTATTATTGTCTGCAGAAATGATCCATGAATGGGAGCTGTATAGTGTTTACCGGGAAGCGGACCCCGAGTTGGTCAAGAGAAACACAGACGAAGCGATAAGTACTCTGAGCAACATGAGGAATCTTGATTTGTCTACACAAGGGCCTTTAACTATTGAAGAGTCAACAGAAGCCCATGACTGTAAGTATCGTTCGTTAAGAAGCCAAATTAAAAAACGAAAAAGGTGCTCATCATCATTATACAGTGAAACTCCTCTACAATGAAACCTACATGGGCAAAAATACCCCCTAGTGTGCAAAAATCTTCATGCATTAACACCATTCCCACCCAATCTTTTTCTCTGCTCTTGCCTCGCAACGAGATTCACTCCAACGAAGTCTAATCCAACAGTGACCTTTCCTGCTTCGTTCGGAAACAGCAAAACAGCTACTACCACACTGATTTACACATGCACAGTAGTCCAGGAAGTATTTGTTATTGTTAGTTTCAGACTCAGCAAGAACGTTGCATTGCTAAAATGGCTACAAAACGGACCTTTGGGTGTCAAGCATTTAAGACAAGAAGAGCTCTGACGCTAGAAGAGAGGGTAAAAGCGATCAAAATGAAAGACGGAGGAAGCAAAATAAAAGACATTTTCCAAGAAATTGATGTAAGTGAACGTGAATGTTGATCGTAAATTTCTCAATTTCTTTCCCTTTTTTTCCTTTCTACACTGACTATATGAAGTGTCAAATAAGTGTATGCCCATACTTATGCACTATTGCACACATGTCAAAGTGCCGGCCCGTGGGCCAAAACCGGCCCGCGAACTACATAATCCGCAAGGGGAGATCTTGCTGTTTACCTGTACAAACGCACTTTGCGCATGCCAATGTCATGCATGGACCCCAGTGAGTCTATTTCTGTTTCTGCAATGTCAAACATGGCACGCACTCTGACCGCCCAGATTTGAATGCAAATGAGTGATTGGCTGGAAGTTGCCTATGTTCGATTCCACAATGGTGATCAACAGTGCAAACACCCAATTACACCCAATTCTGCCTGTGCTAAGTCTACGACAGTGGTCAACAACCTTTTTATTTTTTTATTTTATTTTTTTTATTAAGAGTGATTTAGCTGCTGCTAAAAGATTTTTTTCTCCGTTTCAGCTTTCAGTTGTAGTTCTACAATTGCTCTATTTCACTCTTCTTTATTTGTTTTTTGTTTGTGAATGCTGTGTGCTTGTTTTGAAAATGTCTTTCAAAAATGAAATTTTGTTGTTCAATAATTTGTCCCCATAAATCAAGCAGACCAGTAATCCAGCTTCATTGGCAGTGAAGGCAAATTCATCTGTCCTCGCAGAGTAAACTTGCTTTTTTTTGTCAGAAATTTTTGGCTTTTTTTACTCATGGTTACTGAATGGGTCACACACTCGTTACTGAATGGGTTGCACACTTTAGAGCCCGGCGGCAGGCAAAGGCGAGGGCAACAAACGTAATCGTCAATAAAATTCCAAAATAATCATGTGTAAATAGAAATCAAAAAGGAATAATAGTTATTCATTTTAATTTTTTAACATTAGAGCAGTGGTTATTAACACCCATCTTTCCACGGTCCTCCCTTTTTGGTTATCCTGGGATCTCCCCCAAGACTATCCCATTGTGGGTCAGTGTTTAACCTTGTTAGAGGTACCTAACCCAACCAGTTCATTTGCACACTCACCAAACCCTTCCTTAGTGAAAAACAAAAATACGACTCTTTACAAATTCAAGACATAAAAACACATATATTAAAAACAGAAATAAAGTAAATACAATTTCAAGACATACCTATAGGTTTTTTTTTTTAATTTTACGACGTACTATCAAGACTCACACGTTGACTACTGAGTGAACTAAATTTTCCCGCTGCGCTGATAGGACTAGCAATGTAATGTGATCATCTGCAGCCGGTAATGGCCAAGCGGGCATGTCATAACTAATTGTACATGTTGAGTCGGGTGTGTCTTAACCTCGATGGCAGAGGCTCCGTCGAACCCCTGAGACCATTTCACCGAAACCCTAGGGTTCGATTGAACCCAGGTTAAGAACCACTGCACGAGAGGGAGGCGCAACAAAGAGGCTCAAGAGCCGTGGGTTGCTGACATCTGGTCTAGGAAATAAGAATGAGAAAAAGAAAATCTTTATTCATAGCCAAAGAAAGAAAACTCCATGGATGCATACATACATTTAACACTGTGCTTTGCGCTAGACACGCTTGGCATAAAAATAGGGCCCAATGTCTCATTTGCCTTAAATTCATATCAGGCGCACTGACAAAAAAAATCGGACATGTACATTAGTTGTACATGGTTAAAATGTGTTAAACTAAAATGTACCATTTGCGTGTTTTTTTAATGTGTGATGTTCGAGTATGTAAAATGAGGACTTGCTAAAATACAGCAACCATCTAAGTTTCCTTTTGATAAAGTCTTTTAGCTCCTTGACAATGTTAGTGAATATAAAATGGTTATGTTCCAACTGGATCCTCAAGAGAGAACGATCCTGGAAAGGTTGGACCTCTGTCCCCAAAATCAGTCACTGGGTCTGAACCCTTTCATGCCCAAATAATTACAACATGTAACCTGATAAGCTGTCCACTGTAGTTACACTGTTATCACTGCGTGTTGGATATACTGAGTATGTTAACGCAGGTCAACAGCAAGCCAAACGCAAACCTTCATGAGCCAGGAAACTGAGCGTCTTGCTCCTTCATTATGCTCGTCTTGACAGCATACAGTGAACAACTTCATATCAGGCGCACTGACAAAAAAAATCGGACATGTACATTAGTTGTACATGGTTAAAATGTGTTAAACTAAAATATACCATTTGCATATTTTTTTAATGTGTGATGTTCGAGGATGTAAAATGAGGACTTGCTAAAATACAGCAACCATCTAAGTTTTCTTTTGAGTAAGTCTTTTAGCTCCTTGACGATGTTAGTGAATATAAAATGGTTTTGTTCCAGCTGGATCCTCAAGAGAGAACGATCCTGGAAAGGTTGGACCTCTGTCCCCAAAATCAGTCACTGGGTCTTCTTAACCCTTTCATGCACAAATAATTACAACATGTAACCTGATAAGCTGTCCACTGTAGTTATACTGTTATCACTGCGTGTTGGATAAACTGAGTATGTTAACGCAGGTCAACAGCAAGCCAAACGCAAACCTTCATGAGCCAGGAAACTGAGCGTCTTGCTCCTTTATTACGCTCGTCTTGACAGCATACAGTGAACAACGGTGACATCGCCTCGTTGAAAATGTTGAGTGAAACAAATTTAAAACATGCATTAGCCTCTTGTAATAAAATAAATACAACACTTGTCCAGTACCAAACAACAGACCTAAATGCAGCTCTAAGTGTGACAAAAAAAAGAAGCATTTTCGCGATCCTTTCGCATGCTAATTGGACCGTTAGCACCAATTTAGCGGCATATTGCTACGTTCGTACACAGTGCTCCGAGCTAGCAAGTTTCAGGGACTACACTTGACGAAAACGATCTCCGAAACAGATTTCTAAACACCGCTAAAAAACAATCAAACGTACAGCCATTGCTGTCAAAGGTGTACAGAAAAGGAATGTAACACAGGAGTAGCAATTAGAACAACCACAGTCAGACTTTCTGCAACGACTTGTCGGACGTCTGCTACCCACAATGCATTGCGACTACTAACAACGTTCTCAGAATAAAATACGGGTAAACAAACGCTGACTAGAATGATATTATTTTAAACACAATTACCTTTTGCGTGGAATAACATGAACTATGACGTTTCACATAATGAAATGTTATCAACCCTCCTTTTTGTTAAACCTTGATGAAACAATTGTGAAATGTTTACTTTGGGCAGAACAGTAGTAACGGGTAAAGGGTTAACATTGTTGTTGTTTTTTTTTCTTTTTGTACTTGTAATTCAGGAGGGTTACTCGGGTTTCTCCAGCTGCCAAGGATGTCACAGATGTGAATGCAGGCCAGCTTCTCTTCGTCCCACCTGCCATTCTCTCACTCACAGCTGTTTGTGCCGCCCGGGCGCCGGAGGTCGTTACTGTGAGAGGTGCCTCCCAGGCTTTTGGGACTATAGTGCCTCTGGCTGCAAGAGTAAGTTGTCTAAAGATGATAGATCATGCGAATGTTCTCAATTGCTCTTGCCGAAACAGTCTTTTCCCATCTGCAGCCAGTACTGCTAACATATAGTAACAATGTATCTCTCAGCCAGCCAGAAGCACATTTTATAGATCCCTCGCCCCGCTGCTCCGATCTCTAACAGCTGCAGAAATGTTCATCGTCCTAGAGCCAAAAGCTATAAAGCTGTACAGTATAATATGGAATGCGTGTTTATGTTGTTCTACAGAGTGTGACTGTGAGAGCGGTCATTGTGATATGCAAACAGGAGAGTGCCTACCAGAGCCTGCAACGGTTAACCTGTGCAATATCAGTAAGATGAATTAACTCCAGTAGCAAATCAACAACACCATAACCAGTTTTGATCCTGATCAAATACCTCTCAATTCTTTGCAGGTTGTGATGAATGTATTTGGCATGTTATCGGAGACCTGCGGCTGTCCAACAAAACGCTGGACCATTTGAGGGTTGGAGTGTTGAACATTTCGACTGGGGCTGCTGTGAATGACAGAGTCAAATACTATAACTACACCGCTCAACACCTGCAGGTACATAAAAAAGATATGTCACCCAAAAAAATTTTAAAAGCCAAAGTAAGAAATAGTACACATAGTTGACATTTGGAATGGCTAACGATATTGAACTGTTTTTCTTTGTGTGTTTCAGAATCAGTTCCATGCCTGGAGAAACAAACTGTCTGAAATAAAAACAGAGACTGGGGGAGTGGAGTAAGATGAATTAACTCCAGTAGCAAATCAACAACACCATAACCAGTTTTGATCCTGATCAAATACCTCTCAATTCTTTGCAGGTTGTGATGAATGTATTTGGCATGTTATCGGAGACCTGCGGCTGTCCAACAAAACGCTGGACCATTTGAGGGTTGGAGTGTTGAACATTTCGACTGGGGCTGCTGTGAATGACAGAGTCAAATACTATAACTACACTGCTCAACACCTGCAGGTACATAAAAAAAGATATGTCACCCCAAAATATTTTGAAAGCCAAAGTAAGAAATAGTACACATAGTTGACATTTGGAATGGCTAACGATATTGAACTGTTTTTCTTTGTGTGTTTCAGAATCAGTTCCATGCCTGGAGAAACAAACTGTCTGAAATAAAAACAGAGACTGGGGGAGTGGAAGACTCCACACAAGATATCGTATCATACATAAAAAAGCTCAGTGAATCGGTCAGTGAATTTGTATTTCGATAGAATCAGAAATGATGAAATGAAAACGCGCTAAATGCCTATTTTGATTATTTGTGCTTTATGCTTTTACCAGTCTTTTTTTTTTTTACTTGTGCTTTGAAGGTTGCAGGATTGTGTGGACTGTTCAGTGTCGAACACAGAATTGATTGCATGTTCAACATTGTGTTTACATTGATAGGAAAAGACGGCGAAGAGTCTGGGGAACCAACTTGATGAGGATACGCTGCAAAACTTAATGCACGCGGAACATTTTAGCAAAAACCTCACAGACCTCAACATGCGCATTGAAGGTACCATGTCTCTTGACTGAAATACCACAAATCCATCTGGAGTTGTTGCACCAGACCTTGATCCACATAACAAGAACCTCATTTTAAGACTTAAGTTTAGCCTTGTCGTGTTTATACCCCCTATGTGTCTCTGTGCATTCCAAACAACAGATAAGCCGAATGATTGTGCCTATAATAATCTTTAGGCAGATCAGAAGCAAGACATCTGTAGCTGTTTAACTGTTACGAGATGTGCATCGCAAAAAGGCAGATGTTGTCGCTTGGCCCAGCTCTGATGCCATCCAATGGCAGCGTCCAGCTTTACCGACACTGTTCGCAATCACATAACAAGTCCAAAAATTCTTAAGCCAAATACAAGACAACATTCTTAATTTTCAGAGAAAATTCTTGATAATTATATATATAGACCCAAACAAAAACAATCATGTGGTAAGAAACTAGTGTGTGATTTACCACGAAAAGACGCTGACAAAACACAGCAGGGTAAAAGATTTTTTTATTATATTTTATGTATGTTTATGAGTGTACATATGTGTAAATGTAATGTATTTTAACTTACGAGAACACTTATTTATTCATGATTAGTTATTTGATTGACTCTTGAAATATTTGGTCATCTGTATGCCTAACCCTTGACTCCTAAACATATTCCTTTTTTTTTTTTTCTTTTTGCCATGGCTTACGCTTCCTCTCTCTGACCCTGCACATAATTAATACTTTTATTATTGTCTGCAGAAATGATCCATGAATGGGAGCTGTATAGTGTTTACCGGGAAGCGGACCCCGAGTTGGTCAAGAGAAACACAGACGAAGCGATAAGTACTCTGAGCAACATGAGGAATCTTGATTTGTCTACACAAGGGCCTTTAACTATTGAAGAGTCAACAGAAGCCCATGACTGTAAGTATCGTTCGTTAAGAAGCCAAATTAAAAAACGAAAAAGGTGCTCATCATCATTATACAGTGAAACTCCTCTACAATGAAACCTACATGGGCAAAAATACCCCCTAGTGTGCAAAAATCTTCATGCATTAACACCATTCCCACCCAATCTTTTTCTCTGCTCTTGCCTCGCAACGAGATTCACTCCAACGAAGTCTAATCCAACAGTGACCTTTCCTGCTTCGTTCGGAAACAGCAAAACAGCTACTACCACACTGATTTACACATGCACAGTAGTCCAGGAAGTATTTGTTATTGTTAGTTTCAGACTCAGCAAGAACGTTGCATTGCTAAAATGGCTACAAAACGGACCTTTGGGTGTCAAGCATTTAAGACAAGAAGAGCTCTGACGCTAGAAGAGAGGGTAAAAGCGATCAAAATGAAAGACGGAGGAAGCAAAATAAAAGACATTTTCCAAGAAATTGATGTAAGTGAACGTGAATGCTGATCGTAAATTTCTCCATTTCTTTCCCTTTTTTTCCTTTCTACACTGACTATATGAAGTGTCAAATAAGTGTATGCCCATACTTATGCACTATTGCACACATGTCAAAGTGCCGGCCCGTGGGCCAAAACCGGCCCGCGACAATGTTTTCAGTGGCCCCTGGGATGATATTGATTTATTATTAGAAGCGGCCCGCGGGCGCTTGATCCTCACTAGGGTCGCGGGGGGTGCTGGAGCCTATCCCAGCCGTCTCCGGGCAGTAGGCGGGGGACACCCTGAATTGGTTGCCAGCCAATCGCAGGGCTGTGGCGCGATTGAAATAGTGTAATCTGAGCCGACATCATGAAACGAAACACGCAAACAAGAACATGGACATGGAGGGGGAAGGGGGATTTCATTAAAAACGGTATACTTAAAGTTTGTGACGAAGTTTACCCCGCAAAAAGCAACTCTTTTTAAACGTGAGCATTAGCAGAAACACAATTGCAGTGTTTCTGCAAAGATACGGCAGTGCGTGCTGCGCAGTTTGACGGTTTCCTCCCCGACACAGTGGTCCCGCTGCGCATCCAGGCTGCTCAAACGTTGTCGAAAGTTTGGCAGCACATACGTGTGTGTGAACAACTATTTTCTTTGATGAAGCTGAACAAAACATCACACAGAAGTCGATTTACTGCTGAACACCCTCATTCAATTTTGAGGATTTGCGCGGCTCAGAGCCTGACCCCAAATATTGATGAACTTGTAGAAAAGTTAAGACACCACCGAGTATCAGCAGCCTCAGCCTCAAAGTGAATATTACTTATAATATACTGTGCAATCACATATTCAGAGTTTTTACTCAGTTCAAGTTTAAAAATTAAAGTATAATATTTGCTTTCGCTGCTTGTTACTTCTCCTTGAAGAAAGTGTTGTTTTCGGTTTATACATTTTTGCACTTTATTTTATTGTATTTCAATCCAATTATGTTTTAAAAATATGTCGAAAATTACTGTACTATTATTTGTTTTTTTTTAATAGTCAATATGGACTATTGATAGTGCCTTGAATAATATTGGCTTCTTTCATTCATGTTATGGGTATTTTTATACAAAGGAAATTTTTTTGTGCCTTTTGAAAATTAAAGTTTACTGACACAGCCATAAAAAAATGTTACTTTATTTATCTGACCATATTGGAATGTATTTGTTAGGTTTTCAGTCAATTAAATTTGGTTCAATAAACAATATGTGGTCATTTTTAAAATTTTCAATGAACATTCGATCAGTCCGGCCCTCGGCTTGCAGCAAAATTTTTTATCTGGCCCTCCGTCCATTTGACTTTGACACCCCTGCACTATTGGAATAAAAATAAAGAGTACACATACGTTTGTGTGTGCGTGTACACATACATGTGTGTGTGTGTGTGTTCATTTAGTTCATTTCACTTTAATCAGACATTCATCACGAAGTCACCAGAGTTTACGTCCAAACATGTTTTAAAATCGACATTTGTTTTATTGGACAGCGGTGAACTTTCGATATACTCATCGACTCATGTTGGGTAAATCAAATAAATGTAATTGAAATTGAAAACAGGGATTAAACACCTTGAAAAATAACTTTGGACACGTTAAAGTGGCAGATTTTCGAAACATTGATCTAAAAAGTTTGCATACCGTATTTCTTCTAGTGTGGTACTTTATTTATAGTTGTGCAAAGTTTGTATATTCTTTATAACAAATCCGTAGATTCATATACTGTATTGTAATTGAACAATTATAAAGCAATTACCACAATAAATGACATTTTCAGCATACTCTATTTTGTAAATGAATATACAGTGACATATACCAACGAAATGTGAAATCTTGAGTGTAATACATTCCTCATCCCTGACAGTGCTCAGGCGTATTCGTCAGTTGGAAAAGAAGTCATTGATTACACATGGACATCTCAACCCACTCAAGTTAGCTCTGTCTCGCGTCACTGCCAAGCTGTCTGACGCTCAGTCCTTCCTCCGGAATGCAACCAGTACAATTGAGGAGATGCGGGATAGGAACAGCGGCAATGTCCTCAAATTCCAGAGGATTGAGGTAATTTCCCATGACCTCCAGGGTCAAGTGAATGTTTCTTTTCTTGTATGTCTTCCAGCTTTTTCTGCTCACTGTTTAATTTCTTTGCTAAGCATATGTATACACTTTCTACATCCTTTCTAGTTGTCACATACTCTTCTTTACCAGCATAGCTCCCCAAACTCACGCAGATATGTACAATTTTGATGTATTTTAGAGGTTATGATTATCGATGAATTGGTTTCATGTTCAATGAAAGATGCCTCCTTTGATTTTTCTATAAGTGGTCCTTCAAAGTTTAGACACCGCTGGTTTAGATGGAGATGCTTTTTTTTAATTCATATGAATTTGTCTGCAAGTTTATTTCTATTCCCTTTTCATTTTTGTATTAACTTTATTGTGAATTCTCAAAGGGTTCGTTTTACCAAGTATCATTATCAAATTTATGAACTCGAATTTATAAGGTACAGTGGTATCTAACGTACAAATGTCTCTTCATCCGAAATTTTCAAGTTACGAAACGCCTAAACAGGAAAATATTGCCTCTTGATGCAAAAGGTAAAAATACAGTATGGGCTGCTCCTCGCAGCTCCGACTTTCCTGAACTCAACATACTTCTAGCTGCTCTGCCATTGGCTATTACCTCGCATCTTCCTGGCATCCCATTGGCTAAGAGGGACCTCTACCAAACGTGTCGACGTGTGTACATAGATAGATCTGTGTCTATGCGGCGTCCTCTTCATTCACACCTCGGCCGGTGTTCACCAGTCGGGCGATCGCTCCCTATGCTGATGTTTGCCTTGGACATTTTCAAAGGATTGTTAAAAGCCGACAAAAGCAAATGTCCTTGGATCAATTCTTTCCAAAACGGCAGGCAAAAACCACTTCTGAGGGAGAGCATGAACTAAAGAGAGCAAAAACCGATAAGGGCGCAGTTAAAAGTTAAATGACATCATTTTTATTCTTCACTCTATTCTTTGTTTTTTACATAATGTACAACTCTCATTTATTGTGCAATAATTGTAACATGTATATGTTACATATTTTGATGCATTTTTATGCTCTAGAAAACATGTCAGAATTTTTTTTTGGGGGGAGGTGAGGGGGGCCTTCGAATGGATTAGGCCATTTACATGGAAAACACGTCTCTACTTAGAAAATTTTCTAGTTCAGAAATTTCTTCCAGAACCAATTCATTTCATCAGTAGAGGTACCACTGTATTCATTTTTTACCATACTAGAGCTTTATTTTCAGCCACAGACAAAATCAGAGCAATTTCGTAACCCAGTTCAGATTAGCAGCAGCGACAGTGTGGGTTTAAAATGTGCCTGTTGTGCACACACACGCTTGCTTGGTATAGAAAATACACATGGACCTGTCTGAGGTGAATGGGAGTTCACTGTAGTTTAAACTGCCTAGCCTGCTTTACCACCACAAGCAATTCATGACAGAATTATCCGTTGACTGATCACATGATAAAGATTTACTTTCGAAAACAGACAGGACAGGAAGCACGGGGAGGCCTTGAGGTCTTCATTTGTCGGAACAAGCTATCTGTTCGTCCGATCACATCAAAGAAAACACTTTTGAGTTTTTTTTCTTGATGTTTAATAAATCCCAAAATTGTTCTTTCTGTTTTTCTTTCAGGCAACGCAGCAGAAGATGGCAGCAGAGTTTACCGCTATACAAAACAGTACAGAAACAGCCAAAGACATAATTTCTAAATCACAAGCGAACATGGCTGAGGTGGATACGTTGGTCAAGGTATGATAATTTTTTTATACACAGAACTAGCTCAGGTCTTATCAAGTATTTTATCGACATGCGAATGGTACAATCTTGTTTCGCAACTTGGTCAACTGCTTAGGTTGGCCAAATGCCAACTGCAAAGAATGGATGCAATGCAGGTAAACAAATATAGAACAATCAAGTAGGATTTACTCTGACAAATACAGCACAAAAATGTCAAGCACACACACAAAAATAGAAATGAATAGAAAAAACACTCCCAACAGGTCATCACAAAGAAACAGATGAGGGTAGAGAATTAAAAAAAAAAGAAAAGGCGGGTGGAGCTGCAGTGGAATGAAGACACAAATCTTAATACAATATCTGAATCAACCTACTCAAGGACGAGCATGGAAAATGATAAATTGCAGCAATAAATACTTACAAATAGACCCAAAAAACTGCCACTACATTTTTCTTGAACAGGACAGAGATTATAATCTCTGTGGACTCTTCCAATCATCTCAACACAGAGGAGCGCACACATTTTGTTCACTAATCTCAAAACGAAGTCTTCTGAGGTCAAATTCTTGCATGGTGACACATGATCTCACAAAAAAATGAAGAACAAGTACTTTGGGAAATGTGACAATGCTACATTACACTCCGTGTCACAGTTCATGGAACATTGGGGAGATGTCAGCTTCTCCACACACATGAAGATTTTTAGGCCACAAATATTAAATGTTACTGGTCAGCAAGGTGTACCACAGTAGCAAAAATATATACCTGTATGAGCAGGGAAAAAGCACTTCCCTCTACCCAGATTACGTCTTCAGTTGTTTTCATGACACCAACGAAACAAAATAAAGATATATTTTTGTACATTTCTGTTTCCTTTAGTTTAGACAGTCTTCTTGGTGCCTTCTCAAAGTCAACACTTGAAATGTTTCACATTTCCAACTTTTCAAAATACAAGATTTATTTTTCAATTCAATAAAAATGCTTTCCAAATGTTTACTTCTCAATCAAGTAAAAATTCTTTGTCATGAAATAACATCAATTCCATTATCAACAGCAGTCTGTCTTCTGGTATAGTTCCGCAACAGTTTCAACATGCTGTGGTGCAACCCTTGCTCAAGAAACCTGGCCTTGATCAAGATGTACTGTCAAATTTTAGGCCCATTTTCAAGCCCCGTTTCATTTGAAAAATTCTGGAAAAAGTGGTGCACATGCAGTTAAAATCTTTCTTGAATGAACATGGCGTCTTGGAGGTCTTCCAGTCAGGTTTCAAGATGATGCATAGCATAGAGACAGCCTTGTTACACTTTTTAAATCACATCCTCCTGGCAAATGACACTGGAGACTATGTGTCTGTTTTTTATTTGCATTTAACTGCAGCATATGATACAATGGATCACAGTATTCTGTTGGCTCGTTTGCAGCACCTGGTGGGCATTGGCGGTAGCACCCTTGAGTGGTTTTGGTCCTATTTCGATGAAAGAACTCTTTGTGTTAGCCTTTGTAGCGCTGAGTCACAAACTGCCCCACTGTCATGGTGTTCCACAGGGTTCAATTCAGGGGCCTCTGCTGTTAATGCCTGCGAAATCTATGTCCTACTGAGCAAAAAGACGCTTCCTCATTGAGGCCATTTTTATCCTGTCGAGAGGAAATGAAGTCCTCGATAGCAAGGAATTTCTAGATTTTCAAGGAAAAGAAGACACAAGTGATAGTGTTTGGCCACAGTGGCCCTTGTACACCCCATCCTGCAGACTTGGGCCCCCTGGCTGCTTATCTTAAGCCAATAGTCTCGAACTTGGGTCTTAAATTGGAGAGTGCTGTTAAATTGGACCGGAAAATTGGTGCTGCTGTTAAATCCAGCCTCTTTCGTCTTAGCTCGCTAAAGTCAAGCCTCTCCTTTCTCAAGGGCACTTTGAGACAGTGATTCATGCCTTCGTCACATCTCGGCTGGATGACTGAAAGGCACTTTACTTTGGAGTCATCCAATCCTCCATTAAGCATCTCCAGATTAGTTTTGGCTCCATTCAGAGAAATAGTGTTGGCTCCACAACATTCAGTTGCAGCTCCTAACTGAATAATTAAATTTGCTGATGAAGTCCAATGATGTTTCATCATTGAATTTTGATAAAATTTTTCGGTATTAGGCAATATTTGATATGCACTCATGAGTCAGTCGTGCAAACAGTTTGGACTGATTACACATCCCTGGGGAGCCTCTGTTGAGTGTGATGATCCTGTGTATGTTGTGCCTGCTCCGTGTTAAAAAGTCCAGAATTGAGTGCAGATAGATTGTGTTCAGGGCCAAGAGTTTGCTGAACAGATGATTGTGTTGACCACTGATCTCGAGTCTACAAATGTATCTTTTTTTATTTTTTTTTATTTTGCAGATGTATCTTGTTGAGCAATTTGGTTGGCAAACAAATTTTAAGGGGTCTTCATGATGGACTTGCAGAGCTTTGATGTGGCATGTTTATGACCAAGAGAAGAGAAGGATCCTCCACTGAACATGATGATCTTGCCTCCCATTAGGCAAAATGTGTCGGTGTGTTGGATTCTATCAAAAGGAAACTCTGGGTCTTCTTGTGCTAAATAGAGAGTTAAATGCCAGTTCCCGTGACATGTCAAGAAACTTAAGAAAAACAACACAAGTTTTAGTTGGCAATGGCAATGACCACAGGGATAGAAGTATTTAAAAAGGAAAAGAAACTCAGGAATGAAAGAATACTCAGCATTGATACAAAATCCATGCAGTGCTAGAAAGAAATCTCAGTTTCTTGGTAAATCCCAACAACTCAGTGGATGATCTAGAAGCATAAGTCAAAATGTTTGTAGGGACAATGATTAAAATCTCCAAGGAAATAAAGAACAATAATTTTACACAGCATCCACCAGCTGAGTTGACCCTGAGCACACATTACTGACAACCTTGTCCGATCATTGTCAAATTTAACAATTTTCACATCAGATACTCACGAATCCGAAATAACGGGAGCAAAGGGGTACGAGACTAATAAAGGTTTTCTTATCTTATCTTATTGTTCCAGATGAATGGTTGTTTTTTCCTTTGAAATCAATGACAAATGCAATCCTCGATCCGATAATAAAGGACAACAGAAATAAAGGATTATGCGCCTCGCTTGAGGTGAATAAACTATTAATAACCTCATTGATGATTTAAGGATACCAAAGTGTCTCCATAGCACTTGACTGCTGTTGAACAAAATTATCAGTATAAAGTTCATGGTAAGAATATAATTAATGAACCTGAATTTTACATCAAAATGCATCTTCCAGCCACAGGTTTGTGTTTTCCTCTTCATTTTCCTTCCGTCCATCTTCCTTTTTTGTAGGTTGTATGGACCTCACACATGTACTCTCACATATTTGTGTTAGAGAGATTATGAAATTAGTCTGATACTAAAGGATGTTAAGGACTGAGTTATCGAATTCATGCGCGTTGAAAGTCTTAACTTAGCAAGATTTGGGGTAAATCAATTTGGATGGTTGGCATACGTGTTAGGCTTAGCTTGAGATGAACACAAGACTCACAGGCAGACACAATAAACTCAGAACTGGTTTATGGTCAAGAAGAGGGACAGGTTGAGGAGGCAGGAACCAAAGGCAGTCAAATTGAGGTGTTCAGGAAGGCTTGAACATAACAGCTAGGCAACAGCGAGTACGGCAGGGAAGCTAGCTGACGAACTGGCAACAGGTGGCTCGTCAGACTGGCCTTGATGCTGCAAGGGGTGAGTGTGGCTGACGAGGTGAAGACTGGCAGGTGTGTAGGTGAGACAGGTGCAATGATTGGGGAGATGCCCAGCCCACACTGAATTAAGGGGAAAGTAATAAAACACAACAGAGGGAGGGGCCACACAGTGGACCGCTGAAGACAGACAATATATTCTAACAATATGTATATGCCTGCATAGTAATGAGATCAGCGCCTGTGTGTCTGTTTAAATAAGGGTCGATTTCTTTTTGCTTTTGTGTCCAGAATATAACACAGTACCATGCAGCAATTGATGGTGCCAGCCAAAAGCTAACAGAGAAGATGGAACAGCTCTCATCCGCTGATACGGAGTTGATTAGAAGGGCAGATGAGCATGCTGAAGAGCTTGAACAACGGGCCACCAAACTGGAGGAGTAAGAAAAGTGTCTTAATGGAGCCTCTTGTAACACACACATTCACATACACACACTCACCTTGGATCCCTGGGCATGAGGGTGTCCTCTTGATTGGGTAATAACATGAAAACATATGTCATTTGTTCCAGGGACCTGCGAGAGAGTGATACCAATGGTTTTGTGCAGAAAGCCATAAGTGCTGCGAATGTCTACACAAATATAGTGAAATACATCAACAACGCCAATATCACATCACTTACAACCTTGAACTTATCCCACACAGCAAATGAAGTAAGTTATCCAAAACACATGGCAAATACGTTCAGTATTCTCACAAAGTTGCTTTGTACTTTTTTGTTTCATGCTTCAGTCCGTCACTGGGATCAACATGCAGCTGAATGATCTCGTGGTAAAATGTGACAATGTTTTCAAGGAGTCTGTTTCGCTGCATTCTGAACAAATAGGTAGGCAACACTCAAACGTTGGTTATCCCGACATTGACAAGAACATTATCCCACCTTTGCATCATTCTGATTCCAGAAGTAGAAGCTGAGGTGGTTGACAAGCTGAAATACATTGAAGAGACCAAAGAGACCTTGGATAAAAACACCAAAAAACTTGAAGAAATGATGCAGGATATTTCTGAAATTGAGACAGGTAGAAGAGAGTCCAGTATTTGCCTAGCTATGTTGAAATGGGCTTGATTTGAGATAAGCTATGAAAGTATACAGTACATCTTGGTTGTTCAGCCTTGTTTGTCTTTCGTGTATGGACAGATAGCTAGTTAGCTAGTTAGCCAGCTCGCTTGATAGCGAGCCAGCGAGCTAGCTAGCTGGCTAGATAGATAGATAGATAGATAGATAGATAGATAGATAGATAGATAGATAGATAGATCAAATAAAAATGTTACCTGTGTCTATTTTCTTACACAGTGCTCTTAAATTAAATAATAAATAAATACAGAAGCCGACACACAATTTTAGCAGCTTTTAATTGAATTATGATTCATATCCGGACTCCTCATTTTAATTGTTCTAATTCTTCAAATGTATCTTTTCTTTTTTTTTTTCTTTTTTTTTTAATCTCTGTCAAAATCAATGCTCAAAAGATAATCACAAACTATCTGAACACATCCTTTCTAACCCTTTCTAGCCAGCACCAACAAGCGACTGGAGTATACACTCAACGTGGCTGAGGGAACTCTTAACCGCTCAGCCGCAGTGCTTGAAACAATTACGCCCATCAGTAACAAAGTAGAGGAATGGGCCAACAATCTGAGCGAAAATAAATACTCTACAGCTGCGTATGAGCAAGCCATTGACTCTGCAAAGGAATCAGGTATGTGATCTTCTACATCGTTAAGGCAAACAAACATTTTCAAAAACGTGAACTAATCGACACATTGCATTGTTGGTGAGTCTTGCTTCCTCCAAAAACGGAAGGAAATATAGCTTTATGAAATACATATACAGTACTGTTTTCTGGTTTCGATATGGTTACTGATGTTGTCCATTCAATTTGTCCTTCAAGAAACTCTTGGGTGACTGCTGTAGATTTTTTTTCTTTTTTTTGGTGTAAGTTATTCATCTCATCCCTATCAAAGGATTGTCTGAACACCTTTTCGTCTCTGATAATTTATGTGATTGCTAAAACTACTGGCAATGACAATACGCAAATGTGGATTCTTTTGTAAAACATCATGTTAAATGTCGGTCACTTATTCTTACATGATCAATGTTTTGTACTTCACAGTGGATCACCTCCAATTTCTTGTTCCCGAGCTTCTGGATAAGCTTAAGGTGGTGGAGCAGAAGAAGCCTGTCAATAACATAACCGCCAATGTCATGAGAATCAGAGAACTCATAGCCCAGGCCAGAAGTGTGGCAAAGAAGGTTGGTTCTCACACAACATGTTCACATCTAGGTTCAGCTGCAGTCCGTCCTAAATTTCACAAAATATAGTCCACGTGCTTGGCCAAAAAAGTAACCTTTGATATATTTTCAAAGTGCTCCAAATAAATTTAATTGTGGGATTGAATTTAGTCACCCCAGTAAAATTCTCAACAGAATTTACTCACTTGCATGCATTGTGTTAACACTAGAAATTATGAATAATAATAACTTAAGCTAGTCGCTGATGGCGTTGTGGTACACTCGCCTGACTTGTGTGCGGGCAGCATGTGATCGGTTCCCACTTAGTGATGGTGTGAACGTGGGTGTGTACGGTTGTGCCCTGTGACTGAATGGTGACCAGTTCAAGGGTTATTCCGCCTTTCGCCCAAAGTCAGCTGACATAGGCTCCAGCAATACCCGCGACCCTCTTCAAGACAAGCAGTGTTGAAAATGGATGGATGGGTGGATTATTTTCAAGTCACTGATGGTGTAGTGGTACATTCGCCTGACTTGTGTGTGGGAAGAATGGGATCGGTTCCCACTCAGTGATGGTGTGATTGAGGGTGTGAAAGATTGTCTGTCTTTGTATGTGCCCTGCGACTGACTGGCGACCAGTTCAGGGGGTAGCGCACCTTTTGCCCGAAATTTGCTGGGATAGACTCCACCAACCTCTCGTGACCCTCCTCAGGATAAGTGGTGTTGAAAATGAATGGCGGAACGATGGACGACTGGTTAGCACGTGGGCCTCACAGTGCAGAGGTGCAGGGTTTGATTCCTGGCTCCGGCCTTCTTATGTGGAGTTTGCATCTTCTCCCCGTGCCTGCGCGGGTTTTCTCTGGGTACTCCAGTTTCCTCCTACATTCCAAAAACATGCATATAAGGTTAATGGAACACTCTAGATTGTCCCTCGGTGTGAATGTGAGCGTGGGTGGTTGTTAGTCTGTGTGTGCTCTGCGATTGGCTGGCAACCGATTTAGGGTGTATCTTGCCTTCTGTCCAAAGACAGCTGGGATAGTCTCCAGCAGACCCGCGACCCTTGTGAGGACAAGCGGATTAGAAAATTGATGGATGGATTCTAATTCTGAAAGACTACATGAGCGTATAGTATACAGATTGAGTTGATTTTGGAACTTACACAGTATATTCTACATTTCTACAAAAGTTAATCAATTTCCCCCAAATTACCTTAATGCAAAACAGCATTAACGAGGTACTCTTAAACAGAATGTCAGATTTTGAAATGAAATATTTTCCACTCTAGGTTCAAGTGTCCATGAAGTTCAATGGTCAGTCTTCAGTGGAGATTCATGCTGATACCAACCTGGAAGATCTGAAGGCAGTGACGTCCATCAGCTTATTTATGAGAGTTGACCCAGATCAGGACCCAATAGAGGACCGTTTCATTTTATATCTGGGTGACAAAAATGTAAGTAATGTACTATTGTGATTTGATGATTAGAGGATGCACAAAGGGAAGAGCTTCAAGAAAAGATAGTTATGAAAATTATGTTATGATGTCTGAAATTGTGTCGTATTGTCATTTGCAGCATCTATGTGTGTATTGCCTACAAAAGTTTGGAAACACCTTCCAATTTAATAGCATGATATCGTGTTATGTACGGACCGAATTACGGCCACAGTTTCTAGGCTAACTGTTATGCCTATGTAGTGGCCATGGTGGTAGGGGCAACAAAGACAATGTATGGAATTTGAAATTAAGTCATACTCACTCATTTCTCGGCTCCTTATTTTTTTCCACTGCCAAAGCCTTTGCTATCAGTACAGAACATTAGGTGTAAAAAAAAAAAAAATCACCCGTGAAAGGTTTATTTTCGTTCACGTTTTTGTTAATGTATGGTGTGATGCACAACTGTATAAAGCACAATGTGCCGGCATCCTTCTTATTTCAATTTTCCTGCTGTCCACAGACAGAATGCACTAATGCCTTTACCCGTACTATCTTAGCAATGCCATGAGCACACACACCTCAAGAAGGGTGTGTCATACCAACCTATGTTCAATTGTTCAAATTTGTGGTTGAAGTGTGCCAGCAGAACAAGCGTCCCCAGTATTCAGGAATGCTCTCTTGCTCCCCCTCCATAGACTGCAAAAAGGGTGGGTATTCTGAGCTGTTGTTTATGCCTCAGCACCAAACAACAGCTCAGCTGTTGTTTGGTGCTGAGGCATAAACAACAGTCAGAACCCATCGCACACTGTACAGGCACTGAGTTGTGAGAAATACTATGCCCATACCTGCTTGGCGCCTCTCATCAAGGGCAACTCCAGAGTGGTAGATGTTCCGGGCCCTCTCAAAAAGACGGATACCGGAGCCCGAGCCGTTTATGAGGCGAGCCTGACGATATCTTATCAGAATATCTTGACTTTGTGCACCAAGTCAGGGTCTTTCCCGGCTAAAGAGGCAACATTCCACGTCCCTAAAACTACCATTGTCCACAGCCGAACTCACACTGCACCCGACACCCACTTGGGCCCTCATCAACAACAACATCAATAATTTTTCGTAATAATCTAAAAATTTTTCTTGCTCCCGATTGTGCTGTTAGGGTAGGAAAGACTACATGGGACTTGCCATCAAGAATGACAACCTTGTGTACATGTATAATCTTGGTGGTGAATACGTGGAAATCCCACTCAGCTCAAAGCCTGTGAGCCAATGGCCTGCTGTCTTCAACTACATCAAAGTAGAGAGGTACCACCATGAGGGGATTACGACTCCCAAGCAAATTGAATTCAAAGAACACAGTCATAAAATAATCGCATGTTTCCTTTTCTTTCTTGGCAGGTTGGGTAGACATGGGAAGATCTACTTAGTCATCCCCAGCCAGAGATCCACAGATGAACAGAAGTTCATTCAGAAAGGCGAAGCCCCAGGAACTGACTCACTTTTTGACATTGACCCGAAAGACATGGTGTTCTTTGTTGGGGGTGTCCCACCAGATGCAAAGGTGTTTTATTTGTAACGACAAAGAAGTCAACATCTCTTGAATATTTTCCATATTTATCTGACTAAGACTATATTTAATTGTTTCACTTCAGGTCCCACCACCTTTGACTCTTGCTCCCTTTGTGGGCTGCATCGAGTTGGCCTCGCTGAACAATGATGTGATCAGTCTATATAATTTCAAAAACACTCATAAAATGGATGTGGCTAAATCAACACCATGTTCCAGGTATTTTTCAATGACGTATATACATTCTTAGTGATTGTCCCTCTTATTGTGAAAACAACAACGCATGCTTTTTGAAGAGTTAATCTAGTATTCAATCAACCTTTATGACACTCTACTTGTGATGGTCAGAATACAAGACAATACATCGTTATTTATTTCGCGCTTCCACAACAGCTGCAGTTGGAATAGTGCTTTACAGCAGGGGTCCCCAACCGCCGCAAAGTGCTGAAGCCCGCAAAATGAGTAAAAAAGCTGCTTGGAGATCGCAAATGACTTCGGCCTTAATAGTACGTTCGAAACAACTGGATCAAAGTTATGGCTGAATACTCTGAGATCGCAACAATAGCACTGTTGCTATTTCCGACATCCTACCTGTGTGAGGTGGGGAGTTTCTGCAGCAACAGCGACTAAAACAAAATTACGAAGTAGACTGGACATAAACCACACACTTGAGGTGTCATTGTCTCCTATTACCCCGAGATGGGACTGTCTGATTGCAGAAAATCAAGCTCGGGGCTGTGGTGAGTCGTCATTTTCATGCACTTTGAATTTGCGTTGTATCGTATTTTGAAGGCATTAAACATTACCAGAGCGATAAGAGTTGCGACCAGATTAGACGCTCCTTGTGTTTATTATTATATTTCGAAAACACCACAGTTTTCATGCAGCTCATACCATATTATTTTGTTGTATTAATCCGCCAGACCTTAAATGCCGGTCCCTGAAAATATTGTCTGACTTAAACCGGTCCGTGGGGCAAAAAAGGTTGGGGACCCCTGCTTTACAGGACAGTTAACATAAAATACACAAAATAATATAACACAACACATAAGACATGGACAGCCATGCAGTCGTTAACCACCATTCCTGTGTACGCCTTGTTGTTTGAAGCAGTTATAGATGAAAGAGGAGAAAGTCAAAGTGTCCTCTCACTAGTGGGTCAGAGACGTCATGCTCAGTTTGCATGAAGTCCCACACAACTGCTCCAAGCTTATAGTCAATACTGACGTAAGGTCCGCCAATCCATCACTGACGATGTCAGTTTTGCTTGCTCTGTGTCAGACAAGGCCTGTGCTGAAGCGCATACCGTAATTTACGGACTATAGAGCACACCTGATCATAAGCTCCACCCACTACATTTTTAAAGGAAAAACATTTTGTACACACATATAAGCCGCACCTGTGTACAAGCCGCAGGTGCCCACATTGTAACGTGAGATATTTACAAAGAAAGTCGGTGGTACACAGGAAGAGTTTTCAAAGTTTTAATAACGTACCTTAACTTTTCATTCCAAATAGTGCCTGTTACACGGCGGCACCACGGCACTAAAACATCACTAACAGGGCTGATTAAAGAAACCCAAAAAACATAAAAGTCACTGTCTGCCGTTGAGTAACGCTTTTTTTCTCTGAAAAAATCCTCCCTTGCCATAACACTCTGTCAAACATTCCTTCATTAGGCTTTCTACCATTCACGATTTCGTGTCAACTTTCACGATAATTTCTTTTGGGAGGTATTTATTAAATTTTTTGGCATAGTAATCATTGGTGGATGCAGTGCAGCCCAAAACACAGGTCAAATGCGCCCTCTCATGGCCGGTTGCTTTCAATGTGACAGATGATCGTGTCTTCCTCGACACATATATATCAACTTGTCTCACGCTGACCTTTTATGCTCGAGCGCTCCCTGGCGGCCCTTGGAAAAATCTTTATATCGGCCGCTTCAATAAATAAGCTGCAGAGTTGAAAGCGTATGACAAAAGTCGCGGCTCATTGTCCCGAAATTGCGGTAATACATGATGAACCACCGCAAGGCGGGAGCTTGTCAGTGATGCAGGTGAGATTACATCCTTTCCATTTAAATAAATAAATACAGAAATAAATAAGGGCTGAAATTAGTCCTTGAGTAATTTGGATACCTTGATTAAAAAAAACAACAACAAAAAAACAAAGCCAAAGGCATTATTTTCCTGCCTTGAGCTTTTTGATGTGTACACTGCCAAGAAGGGGTCATGCTAAACACAGCAACAATTGATAATGCTCTGCATGACAGTAACATGCCGCAGTGCAGTAAGAAGGCCATCTTCAACATAAAACCTATCGTACCAAATCATATCGGGAAATCTCATAAACCAAAATCGAGAACCACGGGGAGAAATTTGTCTGAAAAAAATCACAAATGTTTCTAGAAAGGAAAATAGTGCTGCTATGCAGTTTAAATTTATGGATAAAATCTAAAATAAAAACCAGGTGATCGTTCATTATTAGGTGAAAGTGGATTTTTTTTCTCCAGTACTTTCAACCACTTCGAATACCCGATTATAGGATAGAATTTTCAGTAGGATAACCGAATGATAAAATATTCGATAGCTGCAACCCTAAAATAAATGAAAAAAAAATATCCTAGTCTAGATTCCATTTTCAAGGCCAACAAACCGGCCAAGACATCTTGCTTTTGGATGAGGAAGAGGGCGGCACTGACCAGCTCATTTGTTATTGTTTTGTTTTTTGGGTTTTTTTTCCATACAACGGCTTATTAGGGTCACCTAGCGAGGAAAAAAAACATACGAAAAAAGCTGATTTACATCCTTCTGGTGTATCACTCAACAACAACTGGTCGGTGTAAGGGTCGCCCCAGTCAACGAATTGACATCACACTTGTTCCTAAAATGGCACGATGCATTAAAATTAACCAGGGGCATTATTTTGCCAAATAAAAGACGAGACATAAAAATGGTAACACCAGATATTTTTCACACTTCAGTAACAATACTGAACAATTTGATAAAACTATCTAATGTGGATGTACATTAGTGACAATAATTGACAATTAAAAATCGAAATTTGTTATGAACCCTTTCAGGGACAGCGGTCACTACAGTGGACAGCCTATCATGTTATCAGGTGACAGGTTATCATTATTGGTGCATGAGAGGGTTGAAAATAGGTTCAGGAGCGGGTGGCCTGCCAATATTAAATGCTCTAAAAAAATTGGGGGTTAACCTTTGGGTTGTCTGAGTTGATGATTATTCAGTTTTATGTCAATTTTGTACATTGCGAAACTTGAATGCACGTGACACTTAACTAATGCAGTCTCTCCTTATAATTACAGGTACAAACTGGCTTTTTCACAGAGTCGTATTGCGAGCTATTTATTTGATGGAAAAGGCTACGCACTGATCAACAACATCGAGCGGAGGGGGAAATTTGGTTACGTCACACGATTTGATGTTTCAGTGCGAACGGTGGCAAACAATGGAGGACTTTTCATCATGGTCAATGCTGTAAGTTCAAAGTATCGTAACTAATACTCTGAGGTCACTCTTCCACTGAGGTCTAAGAGTTAAAAGTGGGGAAAGAAATAGTTTACTGTATTGTTATGTTGATTTTTGCTATTATGTAAGTTCTTGAATGTATGTCTGTCTTAGCCTTTGACTATTTGTGCATGCATTCAATTACTGTGCGAGAAGAAGTAAACTCACACAAATAGAAATGTTATTGACAGTGGGGTTTTTTTTGTTCATGCTCTCATTTCCCCAGGATAAATTCTTTCTTTTAGAAATCAAAAATGGATATTTGCGCCTAATGTATGACTTTGGCTTCAATGATGGGCCAAAACTTTTGGACGACCACATACCAAAGCTAAAAATAAACGATGCAAGATACCACGAGGTATGTTTTTCCTTCCTTTTTTTTTTTAAATTGGTCTAATAACATAGTCCACGGAAAATAGGCAACTTTTTATTTCAAATAATATGCTGCCTGTGTTTGACTCATGGAACAGATATCAGTGATCTATCATCAGTCAAAGAAGGTGATCCTTCTGGTGGACAAGAGCCACGTTAAATCTATGGAGAATCCGAAAACCACTCTGCCATTCTCGGATATCTACATAGGTGGGGCACCCTCACACATTCTCCTATCTAGGTGAGTAAAAAAAAATCCTGCAGCCACAAACATGTTTGCTGCAGTTTGCAGTCTAATATTAGACTTTGAAAACTGTGAACTTCAGTGTTGTGAAAGTTCATTTTCTACACAGACGAGTTAGCCAGGTGCAGCTTGCAATGCCCCAGCCTCAAAAACATGAAAAATGTGATGCTTGAATGGTCTTTTTTTCATGAAAAGAGGACTGTAGTCCTGAATGTGCAAGCATGAACACAATCTGAACCACCCTCAGGTATAACTGGACATTACTGCAACTAACTATCGAATGCACTCGAATGACAAAATAAACCAGTCTTTAGGTGAGCACTCATGAGGGGTTAGTCTCCAGCCAACTGCTTCACCCGCTTTCTTCACCACAGTATCAACCCCTAGCACCTCCAGCGAAATTGAAAGGAAAAATGTTTTTAACTCCTACCTCGGACTAGCAAACAGAAACGTTCCCTTACTATTTTTGGCTAACCTATACAAATTTACCAAATGAGGTAGCTGGGGTTCCCAAAGTAGGTGTGTATCCCCTTCATATGAAGGCTTGTTTCCAGTGATAATGTTGACATGCAGTCAATAACCATTTCAAAACCCATCCATCCATCCACCCATCCATTTTCTATCGCTTATCCGGGGTCGGGTTGGGAGGGTAACAGCTTTAGCAGGAAAGCCCAGACTTCCCTCTCCCCAGCCACTTGTTCCAGCTCTTCCCAGGGATCCCAAAGCGCTCCCAGGCCAGCCAGGAGACATGGTTTATCCAGTGTGTCCTGGGCCATCGTTGAGACCTCCTGCCGGTGGGATATGCCTGGAACACCTCACCAGGGAGGCATCCAGGAGGCATCCTAATCAGATGCCCGAGCCACCTCATCTGGCTCCTCTCAATGTAAAGGAGAAGCGGCTCTACTCTGAGCCCCTCCCGGATGACCGAGCTTCTCACCTTATTATAAGGGAGAGCCCAGACACCCTGTGGAGGAAACTCATTTCAGCCCCTTGAATCCGGGATCTTGTTCTGATCCATAGCTCGTTGACCACAGAAGAGGATAGGAACAGAGATCAACCTGAAAATGGAGAGCTTCGCCTTTTGGCTTTGCTCCTTCTTTATCATGACTGATTCATCCAAAGTCCGTATCACGGCAGATGCTGCATTGATCCGCCTGTCGATCTCCCGCTCCATCCTACCCTCTCTCGTGAACAAGTCAGATACTTAAAATCCTCCACTTGGGGTAAGATCCCATCTGCGACCCGAAGAGGGCACTCCACCCTCTTCCGACTAAGGACCATTGTGTCAGACTTAGCTGCGAACTGCTCTGGTGAGAGTAGGAAATCCCGGCTTGACCAGCCAACAGCACCACATTATCTGCAAAAACCAGAGATGCAAGACTGAGCCCACCAAACTGTAAAAGTTATGAACAAAACCGGTGACAAAGGGCAGCCTTGACGGAATCCAAACTTCATTGGAAATGAATCCGACTTACTGCGGGCAATGTGAACAAAACTCTGACATTGGTGGTATTGGGACTGAACAGCCTGTATCAGGGGTTTCGAAAACCCATACTCCCAAAGCGCCCCCGACAGAACTTCCGGAGGGACACGGTCGAACGCCTTCTCAAAGTCAAAAGCTTTGTCGGAAGTGGGAATTAAAACTTCTTCTGACAGGGGATTCTGCCAGACGCTCCCAATTCCACCTATCGCAGGTTATTTTTGGAACACAACCTGTCGCGATAAACGAGGTACCATTGTACTTCAAAAATTGACAAAGCAATTTCAATTTTGGCTTGCTGAGAACCCTCGTTTTGAGACATAAAACAAAAAAAACAAACAAACAAACACATGCTTGAGGTATGTTTGTTGAATTGTAGATTTGACAAAGACGCTTGACAAGATTGAGGTTGATTGTCACAAAAATACAGTGATATTGTGTCTTACATGACAGGCCCGAGCTGTCCGCTGTGGTTGGCCTCAAAGGTTGTGTCAAAGGCTTCCTGTTCCAAAAAAAAGACTTCAACCTCTTAGAGGAGCCTGGCACCATCGGCATCAGTAGTGGGTGCCCTGAGGAGTCTTTTGTAAGCGCCACGTTTCGTCTTTTTTGAGCGATAGACTGTGTGGCATCTAACATTGTGAGAATTTGTTTTCCAGGCATCACATAAAGCCTATTTCATGGGTGAGAGCTACTTGAAATCCTCAGCAAAGATTTCACCATTTGACAATTTTGAAGGAGGCCTCAACTTCAGAACCGTTCAAGCCAGTGGAGTTCTGTTCTATCACAATGAAGGGGTATGAACACACTTGTGACAAAGAAAAAAACCCAAAACAAAACAAAGCTGTATTTCAAATGCAATTTATCAGCATGTCTTTAGTTTCCGATGCTATTCAACATTAAACAGTGAGTTCTTCGTATTTATATGGGTCACAAACACGCGCTTGCATATTTTCTTTATTTTTACCGCTTTAGTCTGACGAATTCAGCATCTCCCTTGAGAACGGAGCAGTGGTGATGAACTCACATGGAACAAGAGTTAAAACGCATAAGAAACACTATAATGATGGAAGGACGCACTTCTTATTGGCTTCGGTGAATAATCAGAAGTAAGAATTTGATTTTTACTTTGACGGAACAATTTGTTTTTGATGCTATTACGGTACATTTTGATGGGCGTTGGTCAGCTAGCACTATTTTGCTGTATTATTTATCTCGTTTCACACAACCTGTGTTTCTCTTCTCACCCAAGGTATTTATTATTGGTGGACGACAAAGACAAGCAGGAGAAGATACGCCCACAATCGGTCACAAGACCCTCTTCCGTTTCGACCGGAAAGAACTTCTACTTTGGGGGCTCACCAAAGAGCAGTTTAAAGAACTTTACAGGCTGCATTAGTTATGCCTACATAAACAGGTAGATCCCTTCTCAACAAGGAACAGCTGTTATGGTCGTTCATAGGAGAGAGCTCTTTGTCATCCAGGTTGCACACGGATGAATTGCTTTTTCTGCTGCTCAGAACTGCACACTATTTTTAATCGTTCTTCGAAAAAAGACTGGGGGGCAAATTCAAAAGTCTCACCATTCATGGCTGCTTCAAACAGTCCAGCTTTGATGCAGAAATGAACAGAAATCACTGGCACGGTCAAAAGTACACTTTAAGGAGGATGTGGGATATTAATTTGCTCAGTGGAGAAGTTGGAACTGTTGTCAATTGCCATGCTAGCATGCTAACTTCAATTATGTGACATGATAAACATAGTATATGGTCCCTATAAAATATTGTACATTTAAATGTTATGTCAGTGGTAAATGGTTTGTTTTTTGTGACTGTGTATAAAGCTAAAAACATTTACGATGACTTTGGATGCTTGTTATCAGCTAGCACTGGGGCAAGTAGGGACACTTGGTCGAAGGAATGCCCGTCATGTGGCTTGCTCTTCTTCAGCCATTAGGCAGGAGTGTCCAGACTTCTTCATTTGAGGGCCGCATACAGAAATATGGAAGGACGAAAGGGCAACTTTAAAATTCTTCAACTTTTTGAAACACGCTAAAGTCAGTCAAGAAAGCAGTTGTAAAATGTCTGTATAGTCTAGTTAATTTCATCGGCCCTGGGCCGTAGTTTAGACACCACTGTCGTAAGGCCTATTTTATTCTGCAACTTAGAACATAGTTCACCTAACATGATTGTTGATTCTGCCGGAAAACTGCGTCACTTCTACGTGCCAGCAGTACAGTACTTAATAAGACAAAGGCATCCATGAATGCAAAGGCGTCACTATAATACAGTTCTATCACTCTCAGTGAGACTTACATACTTGTCCAACAATAGACTACCATGTTTTCTGCACTAAAAGGCGCGTTGAAGTATAAGGCGCACCTTTCAATGAATGGCCTATTTTCGAACTGTTTTCATGTATAGGGCACGCCACATTCAAAGGCGCACCGAATAGAAGCTACAATAGTGGCTGCAGTTGCGTTATGCGTCCACTAGATGGAACTACTCTGAAGGGAATACAATACAATACAACACAGCTTTATTTATATAGAGCTTTCACAACCGCTGCAGCTGTAACAAAGCAATTTACAGAACATTTAAAATACTACATCCGAGACATCAGAGTACTGATCCATAAACAAGGCGCACTGTCGGCTTTTGAAAAAATTTGATGCTTTTAGGTGTGCCTTATAGAGTGGAAAATACGGTACATCCAGTAGTTTGGCTCAACTTCTATTTCATACTGTCCGGTTAAGTTGCGTGCACTTGTTTTTTATTTTTATTGTTTATTTTTTGAGGTTTCTCATCCATACATCGAAATAGCTTTCAGGCATTCATTATCTGTCACTTTTGCCCATCGCATTTTGACCACGATGGCCTGAAAAAAAAGCTGCTGAAAACAAAAGATGTAAATAGAGCCTAAGGAAATGTGGCATGTTTGTCTATTCAAAACCTGGTAGGTTTGATACCTTGATCATTCCAAGTGGTCTGTGGAACATAGTGTCGAGCTAATTTGTGGCCAATTGAATGCCACAGGAAGAATATTTCATTTGGAGAGTACCTGGGTGACATGCAGATGGCAGCCATTTGAAAATATTTACATGGAGCTGCTGGAATATGAATTGCCTGCAGTATTGAAATTGCTGCTTCAACTTGGTACCAAAAAAACAGCATTAAATCATAGTTAATTTCCCTTCTCTCTCCCCTGATTTCTTCAGACAAGACCGAGATATTGAGCCTGAAGACTTTCAGCGCTACACCGAGAATGTCCAGGCTCTCCTGCAGGACTGTCCATTGCAAAAGCCTCCTGCTGTTCTTTCAACAAGGCACAGGGATGACAAATCTATCGCCAAACGGAGGGTATCACGTAAGGTAAGGCGGGGAAAAAAAAAACAAAAACATTAAACTGAATAAAAATGAATTATAATTATAATTCATTTGAGGTTTTCAGTAAACCTCAGTTGATTGTGGCTTTCTGGGGTCTCCATTTAGATTGTTAGTTTCTAATTTAGCCAAAATATTTCATGTATGCCGCCACAGGTCAGCAAGGATGAATCCGTATATTTAATGAAGGTTGCTCCCTGCCATCTCCCAAGTCACCAAGCAACACAACATGCCTACCAATATGGCAGCTTTGCAAACAGTAGGCAGCACTACAGAAAGCTTCCAGAATCCCTTTCTCATAAGTAAGTCTTAAATTCTTCAAAATTCTCCAAGTATTGTAAAAGCCTTCTCTTGAAAAAAAAACTGTCTATCAATGTGTTTCCGCCCAGGTCCAACTTTTCCTTATCCCTAAAGACCAACGCATCCTTTGGCCTCATTTTTTATGTGTCTGACATCCATGAGAGGAACTTTATGACTCTCTTTCTGGCCAGTGGTAGACTTGTATATACTTTCAATGTAGGTGATCAGCGTGTGGAAATCTGGAGCGAGGAAAATTATAATGATGGAGCATGGCATAATGTAAGTGCATCTTGTTGTTCCACCTGTCAATATTAAGGCTGAATTTTAGATACACATACAGGTAACTCTTTTTCAAGTGCAAGCATGTGACACTGAGTGATGAATTGCATAACACAGAGCTGCTGTGTGATGTGTTGTGTCTCTCAAGAGAATGAACTTGCTCACATTCCTCCAGTGATATATAATGTTCTGTGAGATGCAGATACATGGTACTGCCATTGTTGAAATTCTCAACCCGAATGAATATTTTCAGGCTCCATGTAAAAACTGATTGTTGTGATAATGCTAAAAAGCATCTGTCTTCAAAAACTGACAGTTTTCATGAGCATTTTGGTCATTTGTGCAGATATTATCGGCCAACAGAAAGTTTCTCATCCTCCACCGAAGGATATTTTTTGTACTTACAGTATATCACAGGTCACAGTTTTATGATGATTGTAAAAAGAAATTTAGTTCCACTGGATTATGATATGAAATACCGTATTTTCCACACTATAAGGCGCTTTGGCGTATAAGGCGCACCTTAGAAGCTGCAATAGTAGCTGCGATTGCACTGTGCATCCACTAGATGGTGCTACGCTAAAGGAAATACAATACAATACAGCTTTTATATTTTCAGTCAAACCTTGGTTTTCGAACGTCTCTGTTCTCGACTAAATCAGTTTTCGACCAAAAATTTCAAGTTTTTTATGCCTCGGATGACAACCGAATTTCGGTTCTCGAACAAACTGAACGCCCTTGAATGCGTCACTTGACTCCTCTCGCCTTCTTTACACAAGGAAGTGACGCTTCCTCGGGTCGACGAGGAGGTGACACTTCCTCGTTTAGCGTTCCATGGTGAACAGACGTGTTTAAAAAAGTTTTTTTTTTTTTTTTTAAAGAGCGTGATTTCGGTTTTCGAACAAATCGGTTTTCGAACAGCCTCTGGAACGGATTATGGTCGAAAACCAAGGTATGACTGTATCTCTCTCTCTCTCTCTCTCAAGAGAGAGAGAGAGAGAGAGAGAGAGAGAGAGAGAGAGCTTTCACAACCGCTGCAGCTGTAACAAAGCGCTTTGCAGAATATTTCAAATACTATGTCCAAGAAATCAGAATATTGATCCATAGATTCTATGGTGCACTGTCGGCTTTTGAGAAAACCAAATGCTTTTAGGTGCGCCTTATTATGCGGAAAACACGGTACTTGCAAGAGTAAATTTTAGTCATATGTCAATAAAATGTACAATGACAAGAAATTGTGCTTCCTTTCTGAAGGTTATTTTTATCCGTGATGGAAGTATGGGAAAATTGATCGTCGATGGACTCACAGTGTTGGAGGACAGAGTTAAAGGCAAAGCTGTGCCTTGGCATGTCAGCAGTCCTCTCTATTTTGGAGGCGTACCTCCAAAGCGAGCACAAAAAAATATTCAGGTATGGATTAGATTTTTAACTGCAGATCCATCACTCTAATATATCATTTTTAGAAATATGATGATAAAGATATTTATTGAAATGAGCACTCCATAAATAGTCATGTACTAACATCATTTTCAGAGTTCAAAACGCGGACGGGCACCTTGAATGATTTTTTCCCCCCCTCCCAATTTTCTGCATTTCGTTATTACATGTCTGCTGATAGTTTAGAAAACTGCTGATAAGCATTCGATATTCTTTTTACATGGTGGAAAAATGGGGAAAAAAAACCCTTCAAATTATTAGGGGGGGGGGGAATCAATAATTTGCGAGTTTGTGTGTGGCAAACTGCAAATACGCAGGGGTCGACTGTAGTTTTAAGTTGTAAAATCAACAATCACCAGTAGATGGCAGACTTGTCTTCTGCTTATATCTGGTCTTGTACTGCTTAAGAGCACGTATGTTTCACATTTGGACATCTTTTGTCCATATTTAAAATAGTATTTTGTCATACATCTGGTGCAGAAGTGCACGGTCCTATGTGGACCCTGAGTAGATAAGTTGTGGCATTTAAGTTGCTCATCCCTGTTTTAAAAAATAACTTCCTAAGTAGGTCATTGAGAATCAAATTTTTATGTTTGTTTGGGAGTTGGGGGGGAGTGCCATGGTCTTTTTTGCTCCCTATAAGCCAAGCCAATCGCAAGGCACACATAGACAATTAACCATTCATGCTCACAATCAGACTTTATATGTACTGTATCTTTTTGTGTTTGTTCCCTTCAGGGCAACTCGGTAAACAGCTTTTCTGGCTGTTTGAGGAATATCCAGCTCAATGGGCATTGGTTGTCATCTGCTGATAAAACATTTGGAGTGACACCGTGTTTTGAGGGACTCACCGAGGCAGGAACATTCTTTGCAGTGGAAGGAGGCTACGTACTTTTGGGTAACTTAACGTTCGTTTTTGCACTCCAGTTTTTAACCCCCTGAAATGTTTGCCTTGACTGGATACATCCAGTAAGTATCATTTTTGTTTGGGCCAATTTCATTAATTATAAAAATAACCATTCTGTTGGATTTTAATTTGTTAATTTCCTGTGAATTCCTATTCATCATTACTTGTGTCACATTTCAAGTTATTGAAGGACCATAGAGCAGGGGTCACCAACACGGACAACCAGTCGCCCGCAGCACCATCTGAGTTGTCCGCGGGCATGTTCTAAATATAGATCACCAGTGAGAGGCTTCTTTGTGTGTGTTTGGGTGTGTTGCTTTTCATTACCACGTCTGCAAACAACGTCACAGTAAAATTGAATTTCACATAGTTCGTGCACAAAATGGTGATTGGAATTCCATAAACATAGACACAAATGAAAATCCGAAACAAAAATACTTATTTACTGAAAAAGAGCACCGACAAAGTATAATTAGAAATCCCTGGTCACAAGGAGCCAGGAAAAAAAAGGCATAAACAAAAAGCGCTTGCAAAAGGCAAGGTAATCGTAAAGCCCAGAATATAAACGAAATGACAAGAGTCCAATGACACGAAACAAAGCAAGAGTAAGCTCAAAGACAAAACAATATCAATCCTAACAAATGAGGGAATAGAGAGCAAAAACGACAATGACGAGTTCGAGAGGTCTAGAAAACAACAATTGACCATGAGCAGTAAAACAGGTCAATAATCCGACAGGGATTTGGCAATTAGGCAGTCCAGAAATACATGGCAAACTGATGAACATTGGCAGCAGGTGTGCACACTGGAGGGAAAGCCCTCCTCTGCCACCTGCTGGAGACGCACACAGGAACAGAATCATGACGGAATTCAAATATTGAAAAATGGTGTTGCGACATGTTAGTTTCTTAAAAATGCTCTAAATTTGGTTTTAAGTTCAACGTGTGAGAGGATTTATTTAAAAATCTGCAAGTTGATTTGTACATTATGTAACTTGCACAAACATTTAAAAAAGTGTTGCATGTTGATATTTATCTGTTTCCTGCTTCTTTTTTTTTTTTTAATCATTGCTCATTATTGTGAGAAATCATTTCCACGATTAGTGTCCAAACATGGATAATTTTCAATAATTACGATAATTAACCGTATTTTGGGCAAATTTGTGAAGTGTGTCACAAAATGGTCGCCCTTTGCATTCAACAATAACAAAAAGTAACTACTCCTTTCTTTAACCCAACCAGTTTCCTCACCTTTGCCACAATGGTCGCTATATTTGAGCGGGAAAATAAAGCTCGAAATCATGCAGATATATTTTCATGTCAACCTGACCAAATAGAACGTCCTTTACTTTGCCTCCTTCCTTCTTTTAGACACGCTTGACTTGGGACCGAGATTTCAACTCGAAATGGAGGTCCGGCCCCAGGTGACATCGGGTTTACTTCTGCATGTGCCCAGAGCAGAGGGTTATTTTTCACTGTACATTCATCAAGGAGCAGTAAGTCAACGTCACAGATGAGACAATTATACTACAATACAGAAATCATTTTTAAATGTTTCTTTTAATGGTTAGAAATGTTGAAATGAAAGCAATGTTTTCCAGGTGGTGGCCGTTTTGACTGATGGGACACACGAATTATTGGCAACAGTTTCTCCAAGGCGGGCTCTATGTGCTGGCCACTGGCATAGAATTGCAGGTGAGTGTTAATTTATTTTTTTAGAGGGGTCAAAATGTATTAAGAACAATGAAGAATTCCCAAAGAGTGCCACATAGATCATGGACAAATAATGGGATGGACTTATTTTGTAAGGGAATGCATCAAAGAATTGTGCAAGTAAGCGGAAGATTTTGTTCCATTTTATTTCCAATACCTTATTTCCTACATCGAAAAAAAATAAATGGATTAGTCAAATCAAGTGGCGTTTATTTTAAGTCTCAGTGTTTCATTCATCGTATCGTTGACAAATATCAATGACATCCCCTGATCTTAACCCAACTTGGCATGGAAAACCTAAAATCCCAAAAAGAAAAAATTGTCATGTGACAAACAACAACAGAAACCTTGAGAAGGGATCCCAGATATACGATAACGCAGTGCTGTGCATTTGCCCTCTTCTCAAATTACATTTTTTTTCACATAGGTTCCCCACTTCAGGGTTTAACCCTTTCATGCACAAATAATGATAACCTGTAACCCGATTACCTGATAAACTGTCCACTCTAGTAACCGCTGTACCTGAAAGGGTTAAGATCATCAAACAAGTGTAAGACCCAGTTAACCCAATAAACACAAAATGCTGTTTTGTACGGTAAAACCTCAGTGTAATATAATATAATGAGTACATTAAACTGCTCTGTCTTGCCTGATCACAGTGATGAAAGATATGGGCATCCTCAAGTTGCAAGTAGACCAACAGGTCCATAATGTGGATGGGTTTCTGAATCTTCACTCTACAGTCATCACAAAGATTTTTATTGGTGGAGTTCCAGGTTAGTTATCGCCCAGTGTGAGTCTTTTTTTTTTTCTGCTTGAGTCATACATTTCTAAACATTTGTCTACTTCTCAGATCCCTCCCTTCCAGGCAGCCATGTAACCAAGGAGCCTTATGTAGGATGTATGAGGAACCTGAAAATCAACAACAGCGGAGTGAGCTTCACTGACGTAGCTCTGGTCAGCGGAGCGGTCAGCGTAGGATCCTGTCCGGCTGTGAAATAAAGTAAAAATGCCAACTGTTCCCAATGCCTTATTAAAAACAAGAAAATATAACAATTGTAGGAAACCACTCACTTTAATTTACCATATTTTCTGCATTATAACACGCTTCGGATTATAAAGCGCACCTTCAATGAATGGCCTATTTTAAAACTGTTTTCATATATAAGGTGCACTGCATTATAAGGCGCATGGAATAGAGGCTACAATAATGGCTGCAGTTGCACAATGCATCCACTAGATGGTGCTACGCTAAAGGGAATACAATACAATACAGCTTTACATGAAGCCTTCACAACCGCTGCAGCTGTAACAAAGCTATGAGAACTAGTCACAAACAAGGAACTATAGATACAAATGGCATTACAAAACAATATATGATAGACAAAAGTTATGAATACAACTGATTCAACAAAAAGGCACACAAACCTCGTGGGCTCACATCCACAAGGGGCTAAATATCTTTAGAAGTCTTGCTTGTCTCCTTCTTCCTTCATTTAGTCAGCAGTTAATGATGCTTTTGGCATTGTCTTAGTTTCATAATGGCTGCTCAGAGCTCACAAAGTACTTGTCTGTTTGAGTGCGTGTCGGTGAATGCGCATGTCAATTAATGTCTGGCAGAATGCTTTTAGCTTACAAAGACTGTAACTCTATATATAAGGTACATTGGATTATAGGGTGCACTGTTGGCTTTTGAGAAATTGAATGCTTTTAGGTGCACCTTATAGTGCGGAAAATACAATACTCTGGTGACTGCTTTTCTTACAAACAAAAACTAATGCCATTTAATCATGACTGATGAAACTGAAAGTATACATTTAGAACATGTTTAATTTCACACAATATACTCCAATGTTCCATGATGTCTGTCTTAAATGTTTATTACGTTGCAGGGTTGTGAGCCAATTTCCATTCCGTGACTATATTTGATTCTAACATTCTACCTTATTATCGTGTGTTATTTTCAAGTGGTTCATTTCCAATATCTGGACTGTTTTATTGAAGACATGTCAAAACAAATCCAAATTTTGAACAACTAAAGATGTGTCATTATCAGGCAATAAAGGTAAAAATCAAAAACAAATATTAAACACTATATACGGCCTCTCTGGCCTTGACTGACTCTTCCCCACAGTGGTGTGTGTTTGGTACATTATAGAGAGATGTATGGCATGCATCTCGAATAAACCACATTTTAACCATATCTAATGGTCTGTGCTGTCACTTCATCAAACCAGCTGCTGTACAAGCTCTCAACAAATAAATAAATAAATAAAATAAAAGCAAGACATTCATGAAAATAAATAATAAAAAGTATTTTGGGGTGCTTACAAGGGACCTTTCCTCATTTTCGTTTGAAAATAAAACTACAGTCAAAATAAGCATCGGCCCTTGTGACAGTCCCTGACCATATTTTTTTTAAGTGCTCTATAAATTGTGTTGTGTTGTTGGAAATGGATCAACTTAGCCCTGAACCTACCCATTCGTGTAGCGGGTCAAGCAAGAACTTAACCCTTTCAGGGACAGCGGTTACTACAGTGGACAGGTTACCATGTTATCAGGTTACACAGGGTGCATGAAAGGGTTAAAACAAACCAATCCAAAGAATAATTCTTGAAAGAATTATTACCAGTATGGAACTATGGACTACCATTTTCATAACTGTGAAGTTACCATATTTCTCAACGGCGCTGATATTGATGGCATAGCATATTGCTCGTTGTAATAGCAAGACAATGAAAGGTGGGATTGTTGAATTAGCATTCCTAAAACCAGACTGAAATTCAAATAAAAGGTTGTTCTTTGATTTAAAACAATAAAATAACCATTTATGTGTTCAAACTAGAGTTTCTATTATTTAAGACAAGACATTTATTAAAATTGATCTCAGTTCTGTAATTATTTGGGTCACTTTTGCTGCCTCCAAAAAAAGGAATCACTCTTGCTTTCTTAAATTCCTTTGGGACTGTACCTGTCATTTTACATAAATTGATCAGAAAGGTCACAAAGGGAGTGATCATCTTTGTAGCATCCTGGACAAACATACCTGACAGGAGGTCTGGCCCAGTACCCTTCATGGGGTTTAGTCCCCAAATGAGCTTATAAATGGCTTCTTCAGAAACACGAGAGACTTCAAAAGTGTCTGGTTCCTTTTGACCATAGAAATCATGTATTCAATCCCATAGGCCTTTGTTGGTTGAGGAAGTTTATCCGCCAGCTCTTTCGCAGCAGTAACAAAATGGAATTTTAGATGCGCTACCGACTCCTTTTTAGTAGAAGTTCCCACACCAATAATATCAAGGCCCCTGTACCGGCTCCTCGGCGGCTGCAGGCCCAAGCGCTAGCTCATCTGCGTCTGCAGGCATTCATGCCGACTCCTCCGTGGGTTTAGGCCCCAGTCTCTCATCCTGTTCCAGCAGCGTGTGTCCTGCGCCTGCCAATCAATCCTGTTCTTGCGGCCCGCATCCAGTGGCAGGTCCCCGTCCTCAGCCCTCAGCAGCACCAGGCCCATGTCACAGCGGTGCACACACTGTGGCCCCCCGGCAAGTATCTATTGTCTGGCCCTGCCAGGATCCTCGAATATGGACTCCAGGACGCCCGCGAGAATGGGCCAGATTGGCAGGCCGTGATTGTGCCTCCAGGCCTTCATCCGCCCACCCGGTTTTTCGACATTTGCTAATTTTGTGACTTCTGGGATACGTACTTTGGAGGTGGGGTTGCATGGTCTTTGATTTAGGTTTTCGATTTAGAATTTGGTTTCATAATTTCCTTGTGTTCCTTTGTCTTTCTGTCTCGTTAGGTTATTGATACAACTGTGCCGTTTACCCAATCCCTTGTGTTACTCTGTCAGCTCCTTGCAACCCTTTGGCTTGTGTTCGTAGTCCTTCTCACATATTGTTGAATCCATTTCCGGTTTTGGTTTATTGGTATGAATCCTCAATTTTGGACTTGTATTGGACTAATATTTCCAATTGCCCACTCCTTGTTTGCCTTTTTCTTTGTATTTTTGGAGAATAGTTTTTTAAAGATACATCCTGCCTCATTTCCCTGCATTTGGGTCCTCAACGCGACATTGACAAGTGCAATGAACTGCACTTGCCGAAGTTATTTAAGGTAGTTTAATTCATCTTCAAAACACTGGACTATGGTATCTGCTTTTTATTAAAAGTAATGAAGTGTATCAAACACCTGTGTACCAATTGTCAGTCTGCGTTGTGCTGTATTCCTGGTTATGGAAATAGATTTAAGAACTGCATTTTGTATTCCTTTGCAGGATACCCATCCTTGTATGTCAACAAGTTTTAATAGTAATACACAAGGTTGTTATTGGACTGGTTCTGTCATTGACGTGATTTTATTGGTGGTTCTCAGACACTGGTCCAACAGGATGGTCAAATACTGACCCACTTCGAGAGTCATTTTCTCTTCATTACAATCACTCACCAGATTTCACTGCTTTAGAATACAGTGATCCCTCGCTTATCGCGGTTAATGGGGACCGGGACCACCCGCGATAGACGAAAATCCGCGAAGTAGGGTTACCCAAGTGATAAAACAGAAGGGAGGGTGCTGGGCGGGCCTGAGACGATGCACAGCCAATCAACATGGCTGTGCATCATGGGACAGATCCACTCGTGTTGTCATTGGTCGACGTCGGTGCTGGGAACCAATCAAGTTACAGCCATGTACAAAACCTCTGAGTCATTCGGCATTTTTTTCTGAATACAGTACTTTGGAGAAAAAAAAATGCGATGCACCGAGGCCGTGATAATCAAAGCGCGAAATAGCGTGGGATCACTGTACTGCAGACATACCACACTTTTCAAGAACTACCCTTATGTAAATATGTGATCAGAAAGTTAAGCCAGTGTTCTCTTCACTCGCACGACTTTCCAGACACGAATTCCAAGGATAAGGACACAACTTGGTTAAAAAAAAAAAAAAATTCCAATGAGTCCTTGTTAAGATGGAATGACTTTCAGGACTGAAATATATCCGAATGGATCACTCTAAATATATCCATACATCCATCCATATACAGTATTTTTCTTCCACTTATCTTGGGTTGAATCGCTGGGGCAGCGGAGAACGGAGAAACCCAAACTTCCCTCTCTCCAGAACCACAGCTCATGACCATGGGTGAGGTTAGGATCCTAGATCAGCCGGTAAATCGGGAGCTTCGCCTTCCTACTTGGCTGACCCTTTTCTACATCAGACCGAGGCATCACTGCAGACACTGCATCAATCCGCCTACCGATCTCCCTATCCACCCGCCCCTCACTCGTTAATATACTTGAACCTCTTCACTTGGGAAACAAACTAATCCTAGACCCGGAAAGGGCACTCCACCCTTTTCCGATGGAAAACCATGGTTTCAAATTTGGAGGTGCTGATTTTTATCCCAAAACAGTTTGACACTCAGCTGTGTTACGCTCCAGTGAGATTTGGAGATCGCAGGTTCATGAAGCCATCAGTACCACAACATCTGCAAAAAGCAGACATATAATACTGAGGCCACCAAACCAGACCCAGTCAATGCCTTCGCTGTGCTTGGAAATTCTGTTAATAAAGTTTATGAACAGAATCACCGATAAAAGCAAGCCTCGGCAGAGTCCCAGGAACTAATTTGTCTGAGCTTTTGTCCTTGGCCGGGTCACCCTTGGCAAATAGGTCATAGGTGGGAGACCATGCATAGTCCGGCTCAAAAGATCCCAATGATATATATTAACGATAGCCGAATATGTTTTCCCTTTCCCGGACCAATGTCACTAGCGCCCCCCCCTCTTGAGGCAAGTCTGGAGGTAGGGCTCAAAGGTGAGCGCCTGGTGGACCGGCCTGCACCCATGCGGCTCGGCCAGACTTCCTGTTCTCATGGGCTCACCGCTTGTGAGAGAGATCATATGGGCAGCAGAGGTGAGAGTGAGAGTGAGATGAGCAGCAAGGGAAGGCAGGAACCTTGGCGTACCGATTCCCATTGTGTGTGTGTGTGTGTCTGTCTGTCTGTCTGTCTGTCTGTCTATCTGTCTGTCTGTCTATCTATCTATCTATCTATCTATCTATCACTGCAGAGGTACCAGGTTCAATTCCAGCTCTGGCCTTCCTGTGTGGAGTTTGCATGTGCTCCCCGGCCTGCATGGGTTTTCTCCGGGTACTCCGGTTTCCACCCGCATTCCAAAAACACGCATGGCAGGCTGATTTAACAATCTAAATTGTCCCTAGGTGTGAGTATGAGTGCGGATAGTTGTTTGTCTCAGCCGATTGCCCAAAGACGGCTGGGATAGGCTACAAATGAAAGACAAACGTTATCAACACAATTGATTGAACAAAAAGGCACACAAATCTTGTGTGCTCACATCCTCACGGGGATCCAAAAGACTTCTAAGGATATTTAGATATCCTTAGAAGTCTTTCTTGTCTCCTTCTTCCTTCGTTTAGTTAGTAGTTAACTATGCTTTTGGTCTTATCTTCGTTTCATAATGGCTGTGCAGAGCTCACAAAGTAGTTGTCTGTTTGAGTGCGTGTTGGCGAATGCACATGTCATTTAGTGTTAGGCAGAACCCTTTTACGTTACAATTGGTTCCTGCTAATAATCACCACTAGATGGCATAGGAACACTAAAACGAAAACAACTCAATGGGGAATATAAAGAGAGTTACAGTCTCTTTATACAGTATTAGGTGCATCGGATTATAGGGCGCACTGTCGGCGTTTGAGAAAATTGAATGGTTTTAGGTGTGCCTTATAGTGCGGAAAATATGGTATTTTTATGATGAAGTAATGGTCCATCGAATTAGATTAGAAAATAATCAAAAATCAAAATCCCAACTCTTAGGAATCCAAATGTGGAAACTGTCATGTTTGCATTCCAGTGGCATTTTTAGTTTGTGCGGCCCGGTTGTCCAGCGCATCAACCTCACAGTGCAGAGGTTGTGGGTTTGATCCCAGCTCCAGCCTCCCTGTGTGGAGTTTTCATATTTTCCCTGGGCCTGCGTGGGTTTTCTCTGGGTACTCCGGTTTCCTCCCACATTCCAAAAACATGCATCGCAGGCTGATTGAACACTCAAAATTGTCCCTAGGTGTGAATGTGAGCGCGGATGGTTGTTCGTCTCTATGTGCCCTGCGATTGGCTGGCAACCGGTTCAGGGTGTCCCCCGCCTACTACCCAAAGACGGCTGGGATAGGCTGCAGCACGCCCCGCGACCCTTGTGAGGATAAAGCGGTTCAGAAAATGGATGGGATGGATGGATTAAATAAGCAGGAGGTGACAAAAGGAAAGCTGAGCATGCTACAGCCTACCAAAATAAGAACCAAGGCGTAGTAAATGGATAGCAGTGGTTAAATAAAAGGCCTAAGAACATGACGGAGATGTCGGATCCTTCTCATAGTGGCAGCTATTCATAGGGATCTATAATATCCAACCTTTCCAACTTGCATATGGATCTAATATGCAAATTAACTTGGATGGAATACTGCAAACTCTATCACTGCTCTCCATTGTAAATCCTTCGCCTGCCTCTGCTACTATTTTGTCAGCATGACATTTTTCTTGTCTGGACATAATCTAAACCCACGACTTCCTGTCAGTTCAGTCAGTAATTCCATTCCTTTACTACGACTATTAAGAGAGTTCAGATACATTATTCACCGGTGATTATCTGAGGAACATTACCCAGAGACATGATGCACGGTGTCTGCATCATATCTGGTTGTGTTTCTCGATTGGGAGAAAAGTCCATGAGTGATGATGTTTCGAATTGGTCTCGATGCTGTAAGCAGTGGGATGATTTTTTTTTTTTTTTTTTTAACGACTATAGTGTAACATCTAGAGTAAAGTACAGCGGTTGTTGGTACACGCTGTTCGATTGCAGTGCCTGATCAAAGTTTACCACAAGTGATGTGACACTGCCGCACTGTTGGGGAAGGACACCTCTTTTTTTTTTTTTTTATTGACAGCAATACCCTCTTTGTGAATCTGGTTATGTCTTGGAACAATTGTGTTTGATACCAGAGATCTGCCTGCAGGTTTGAGTCAAATTAAATTTCTCCTTTTATCTTCCTGTGTGTTCTGTTTAACTCACCAGGGAATAGTTGTGTAACAGTGTTTGCTGCCAGGAAACAACGATGGAAAGTGATCATTAGACGCGTAGATGTGTGTGTGTGTGTGTGTGTGTGTGTGTGTGTGTGTGTGTGTGTGTGTGTGTGTGTGTGTGTGTGTGTGTGTGTGTGTGTGTCTGTTACATTACTAATCCGCCATGGTCGTATGTCTGTTCATTTATATTCTGATTTGAGGTATGTGAAACAAAAGAGTACAAATGGGTTCGATCTATCGATCTATCTATCTATCTATCTATCTATCGAACCTTGATGGATAGATAGATAGATAGATAGATAGATCCATCGATCCATCGATCGATCGATAGGATAACTTGTCTGGCAGGTTTTACTCGAATCCAGACCACTTGTTAGAAAGAGAAAATCTTAACTCATCATGTGGTTTCAAAATATGTACCTGTATATATATATATACAGGTACATATTTTCTATCTATCTATCTATATATTTATATATATATATATACACACACACACACTGTGGTTGGAGAACTATAACAAAACTAAGCACAAGACTGAGTCAGACATAAAAAATGAATTTGTGTAAATAATTTATGGTGAGCACAGCTTTTTGTCTGTGGAAGAAACAGATGTGGGCTGTGAATGACGTCATGGTGATGAGTTCTGGATCTGCTCCGATAAAACTGGCCGCAACTCACCACTTCCCGATCAAGCATCAGAGAAGAAGACATGCGGTACATCTGGAGCGTTAAATCCATGAGACGAGGTGAGCGGCGAAAAATATTTCACGTTCTGATACAGATTAAGAACAGTGTAGCAGTTAAGATGTTGTACTTATCTTGTATTATACACTGTTATTTCTTGTATTATAATGACAAAAGATATGTAAATGATCGCTACAGTATGCTGTTGTTGATGATGTTCATATACACACATTCACACACACAATATGTGTGTGTATGTGTGTACATGTACATATGTAATAATGTAATCTGGTTTGACTATCATGAAATTTGAACAAACAAATCATGTTGTTTGGGATTTGCAGAACAAATGTTTAAATATGAATGAAACTAGATGGGGGGCAGATTGACAGGGTTGAATAAAAATTAACTATTGGGTATCATGATCAATGAGAAATTGATTCATACATCGAAGAGATTCATACGAAACTAAGAAGAAGCATTTTCGTATTCAATCAAGCTTCACGAATGCTTGATTATCATTTGCTTCGCATTCATAATTTTGCCATAATTTTGTGACTCCATCGAGGTTTGGGGCAACACTGTAACTACATAAATTAAATCTAATAACGCTCCAAAAAAGGGCAACAACCATTCTAAAAGTTTCCCATTTAAATCAAAGTCATTTACTTTTCTTATAATCAAAATGTTTGAAATTCAGACACCCAAATCCAAACAGCACAGATTATGTGCAAAAGTACACATTTAAAAACAATTTTACCACAAAAAAAATGTTTAGAGATAGAAAATGGGCAGATTAATTTAAGGAACTATAACAGGGAAGGGGAATATAATTTAACCCTTTCATGCACCCTGTAGCCTGAGAACATGATAAACTGTCCACTGTAAAAACAGCTGTCCCTGAAAGGGTTAAAGATTAAAATCATTCACACGAGCAGAAAAGATTCTTATTCGATACGGTGAAATTATGGAACCGTCTGTGTGAGGACTGTGTGTATATACATAAATTCGGTTCTAAACATAAAAGTCATATTCCCACGGGATACGGAGATGGAACGAGGGGGGTAGATGGTCTGGAGAGTTGCTGATTAGTACTTATTGATAAATTCATGTTCACTATCATTTGGTGATTTGTTTTTTTGTTATTGGCTCTTTGGATCTGTGTTGGATCGTGTCTATGATCTACGATTTATAATGATATCATGTCCATCCATCCATTTTCCAATCCGATTTATCCTCACAAGGGTCGCGGGGGGGTGCTGGAGCCTATTCCAGCTGTCTTCGGGCAGTTGGCGGCGGACACCCTGAACTGATCGCATACATAGACGAACAACAATTTGCACTCACAATCACACCTCGGGAAAATTTAGAGTGTTCCGTTAACCTGCCATGGATGTTTTTGGAATATGGGGGTATTATTATTATTATTAAAACCGGAGTACCCGGAGAAAACCCACGCGGGCATGTGTATATACATAAATTCGGTTCTAAACATAAAAGTCATATTCCCACGGGATACGGAGATGGAACGAGGGGGGTAGATGGTCTGGAGAGTTGCTGATTAGTACTTATTGATAAATTCATGTTCACTATCATTTGGTGATTTGTTTTTTTGTTATTGGCTCTTTGGATCTGTGTTGGATCGTGTCTATGATCTACGATTTATAATGATATCATGTCCATCCATCCATTTTCCAATCCGATTTATCCTCACAAGGGTCGCGGGGGGGTGCTGGAGCCTATTCCAGCTGTCTTCGGGCAGTTGGCGGCGGACACCCTGAACTGATCGCATACATAGACGAACAACAATTTGCACTCACAATCACACCTCGGGAAAATTTAGAGTGTTCCGTTAACCTGCCATGGATGTTTTTGGAATATGGGGGTATTATTATTATTATTAAAACCGGAGTACCCGGAGAAAACCCACGCGGGCATGGGGAGAACATGCAAACTCCACACAGGAATGCCGGTGCTGGAATCGAACCGTGCGCCTCTGAACTGTGAGGCGGACGTGCGAACCAATCATCCATCATTTTTGCTTGCTTGTTGGTGTGTTATTGTTGTATTTTTATTGTTTGTTTCTTCATGTTCAAATCAACCTCCATTTTCAACACTTTATATTGGTCAATGATAACATATGGGGCAGCGATTAGAATCGATTTGAATCGGAAAGTCGGATTTCATTTTGCCCAAATCGAATAGTTATACAGTATTTCAAAATGTACCGTACTTGATCGTAACACACACCGTGTATTGAGATACGGAATGAATTCTCTTTTATGAGAGAAACAATCCAGGTATGAATCAGTTTGATATTGGTGATGATTTGAATTTCTTGATATGTAATTAACCTGAACAGTTTGGGCTTTGGAGAGCTTTTACATGTTCTTCTATATTCATAAATATAACAAAGGCTAAAGCGGTATTGGATCAAATTGCAATCCCACTGAAACGAATCACTCGACGTGAAGTGGGTACCGTTTTTGAATCATAACGGACCCTACACATGAGCTATGTATTGAAATTGTCTTATCTTGGAAAGATGCAGGCCCGTGATATATTTGTCATACATGACAAAGATTTTGCTGAATTTTACTCCAGTGAGTATACTTCTTTTTTTTTTTAATTTTGCACGGAGATGCACTTAACCGAGTTACTTCCACACACCGGTGTTTTGATTGTTTTTTTTTTTGTGTGTGTTTTTTATCCTGACGCTTTTTATCCTCATCCCCTTTTCAAATTGTGTACATTCCAAATTTCACCTTTTTGACTTTCATTTGTTTAGTACGGTAATATGTTATGCATAGTGACACTGCTCTTATTCTCGGTTTTCAGATGGCTATGAATGCATCGATCTCAGAAAGCGATACCTGCAACTACACTGCTACCTTAGTACTGCTGATGTCCTCCCTACAGCCGCCATACCTTGGTGTGATCAGCATCGTCGGCTTCCTGGGAAACAGTTTTGTGATGGCTGTCTTCTGCCTTCAGAGAAAGAACTGCACTGCGGCAGATGTTTATTTAGGTAACATGGCTGCTGCCGATCTGGTCATGATGACCTGCCTCCCTTTCTGGGCTTTCACTATCGCTCGTGGACACCAGTGGGTTTTTGGAGAAGTTCTCTGCAAACTTGTCAATGTTGCCATATACATGAATTACATCTGCAGTATACTGTTCCTGACACTGGTGAGCTTGGACCGCTACCTTGCTCTGGTGAAGCCAATGAGCCCCAGTCGTCTGAGGAGACCTTTGTGGGCCAAGCGCATCTGCCTGGGGACCTGGATGTTGGGATTCCTTTTTTCAATGCCCGTGTTACTCTTTCGCACAGTGAGATATGTACAAAATGCCGAAGTAGATGCATGTATCCTGGTCTACCCTCACCTGTCCTGGAGGGTGCAACACAACATTTTCATTAATGTATTTGGATTTATAATACCTGTTATGGTGCTAAGTTACTGCACCTGTCATATCGTGGCTGTTTTGAGTAAAAATCCTGTCGGAGTTCTCCCTGGAATGAGAACAGAGAGAAGAGCCACCCACTTGGTTCTAGCCGTGATGGCTGTCTTTCTCTTCTGCTGGACACCACACCAGGTGATGCGCTTTCTGGACACTCTAGAATACTTCCAAATAACTTCTGGATGCATATGGGGCTATGTTCTTGACCTCGGCATTCAGCTGTCTACTTATTTGGCGTACAGTAATAGCGCTGTTAACCCCTTCCTTTTTGCCGTTGTGGGAAGGCATTTCAGGAGAAGGGCAAAAGAGGTATTTGTGAAAACTCTGAGCCATTGGTCAAAAGATGTGACAACCAGCTTTACCTCAGTAAAAGTCAACGAAACACACGTGAATAAAACTGCTGAGATCTTGACTGAAACCAAACAAACAGCACACCTTGTGAGCGACGAGGATAGAACGGAAAGACTTGAAAGTTATTCAACAAAGTTAAAACCTTTTCACACCACTTTGTGTTTGTAGTGAGGGGCGCTGACCACCGAGTGGGGCATCGCTAGCCGATATAGCGTGGCAAGAAGACTTCTACTGCGACGTCAAGGTGCCTTGAATTGGAAAATGATCTATTCACGAGTGGTCGCGGCGTGACGTCAGACAAGCACATCCAATAGGAGATGGGGCTGGCATAGTGATTTTGTGTTACTTTGAAGGGGCAGTGGAGAGGCCCCTCCTGAAGACGAGCAATTTAGATCCTAATGTTGTCAACAAATTTAGATCGGTATCTAACTTACCATTTTTAAGCAAAATTTTTGAAAATGAATGCCAAGAATGTCATTGACAAATTTTACTCTGGTTTTAGAGTGAACCACATCACCAAGATGGTCCTTTTAATGACCTTAGACTAAATTATGATGCAAAAAAGTTGAGTGTTGGTTCTACTGGATTTCATACAGTAGACCACAATATTCTTTCAAGATGCCTCAAACATATCGGCAGTTGCTGTACACAAATGATTCACATCTTCACAGACAGGACTTTTATGTTACATTTGGATACCTGCCTCTCTAAGGCCCATCAAAGTCACATATGGTATGCCTCAGGGTTCGATTTTAGACCCAGTGCTTTTTAACCGATGTTCCATCTTGATGATGTCATCAGGAAACATGAAGTCAACTTTCATAGTTGTACATCTCCAACGTCTCTGCGTAACACAAGGTCAACGGATGCACTCTTTAACCGTATCGTAGATGTCAAATCCAGAAACTTTCTCAAGTTTAACTAAGATAAAACTGAAGTCTGAGTCATTGGTCCCAAGGCAAAAAGACTTTCACCTAAATCACAATTACCGTCTTTTAATCCATCCGCAGAAGTGGAATACCTGGGGATGATTTTAGACTCTGGGCTGACTTTTTTTCCACACATCAAACAAAATCGGTGTTTACCTCTTTCAGGACATTCATTCCCAAAATCCACCCCATTCTCTCTCATGCCAACACAGAAACATTGATGCAAGCTTTTATGACCAGACCAGTTGTATAGACTACTGTAATGTCCTGCTCTCTGTTCTTCCCCAAAAGAGTATTTCAGTTTTACAACTTTTACAAAAGTCTGCAGCATGTATCTTGACAAAGAGCAGAATTACATCACCCACATTACACCGGTTTTAAAAATCACTGCATTGGTTCCCCATGTGTTTGAGGATCTAGGTTAAAGGGGGGGGGGGTTAAACCAAAAATATTCTTTACGATAATACGCAGCCCCACTAGTCTAAAAACGGTATCCTGATTAATATATTGTTTGTGGAATATGAGTACAGCAGTACAATCTACTCGATTTTTTCCATGCCATGGGGAGGCCATTTTTGCCACTTGCTGGCGACTGAAAATGACATCACAGTCGCTCAAGGCTCAAATAACAACCAATAATGTCTCAGCTTCAGCAAACGGGTGGCATGTGTGTGTGATGGTAGGGATTGGGGTGGCGTAAGTAAACCCGTAATTTTATGTTTGACCTTGTGGGGTGACACCTGTGGCGCAATGAATTTAATGTGTCAAGCACTTTGAGCGGCAATTTCTGTTTGGAAGGTGCTCCATAAATAAAGTTTTGATTGACTGATTTTTAGGTACTAATTTCAGTTATTTGAACAATTCTCCAAATGATCTCACAGACCACAGATATGGGATCATGTGCAGTAACGGGCACCAAATCCAGCAGACACTTAAACAGCTTCTTCCCTCTAGCCATTAACTCCCTAAACAGTCACTGACGTAGTCACTCTTTTTGTACAACAAATACTGCTACTGGTCACTCTAAAATGGTTCAATGATTTTCTGCACCAACTGTACAAACTGTCATCGTATTGTATTCTACCACTGATCACTTTAGCTCTGCTTGATACTTTGCACATTGTCTCACAGTTGTCACTGGGTGGTACCACCGCACTACGGTTCACTTACATTACGAAATGTCCTTCCATACCTATTTATCATGTCCTTGTTTATGATGATACTATTGCAGCGTGTTATACCGGAGACAAATTCCTTGTGTGTTCTACATACTTGGCCAATAAAGATGATTGTGATTCTGATTCTGATATCCTACACTTCTTAACGGTACCTGTTCAGGGTTGTGTGGAGCTGGAGCCTGTCCCGTCAGACCTTTGGCAAGAATCGTAGACAAATCGAGAATTTTCTCCCACATTTGTGAACCGCGTATGATCAGGCATGGTTATTCTCACACCTCCCACCCCCCCAACACACACACACACGCACACACACACACACACACACAAACATTGCATGACACATAGCTCACGCCAATCATATAGAATGACGTATAATACCAGACAGTTTTATAAACTTCATATTCAGTGATATTTATTTCCAAAAGGAAACATAATGGTTGCACCTTGGGAGACTGTGAGCAACATCGAAGTACAAGGCAGATTTGAAAATCACAGGCAGTTAGAAAAATAAAAAAACACACAAAAGCCTGATCATCTGAACAATGCAGGGCAATACAATCAACATCATACTGTGCGTAGTTATGTGTTTGGCAAGATAGCATGCGGGTGCGTCTTTTTGTATTTGACTTATCTCTTTTTCATGTTGAAGATTTGAAATGTTTGTATTTTTTGAGAAGTCTTTTTTTTTTAACGTGGCTTTTGCTTGCATTCGTACCAGCTTTTACTTTTTTTTTGTCCTTTTTCATGTGTAATGTATACAGTAGCATAAAAATAAATAATGCTTTGACACTGGTTGTGAGAATGAAAGGCTGCTGTGTCACTGACTACACAATTTGAGTCAGGAGCAAGTGGCACAGTCTACATGTTCTACTTAAGCACTGTATTAGCTGTCAGGTAAATGATGAATATGAACTTCACATACAAATTTCAAATGCTAAGCGGTCACCAGGCAACCTACCAAAGCAGTCGTATTATTCTTTTCACCTGATGCAATATGAAGCACTCATGCCTCCACCTGGGTCATATTTGTTGACATTTCCATTTTTTTTCTTTAAATCCAGATCCAAGCTAAAAGACGAGAGAAGTCATGTTCAACAAAAATTGCACAATCACACTCATAGTAACAGCTGCTACTTGATCATCGCAAATTGATCCAAGGAATCTCAAAGCACAACCTGTTTTTTTTGTTTGTTTTTGTATTTTAGTTGTTTTTTTTTGCATTATGGCTTTATGCTGTATTCTGTTGTCATTCACTACTAAATACCATACCATATGTATGTTTTCCAATGATCCATCCTTTTTTATAATGAGCTTCCAGATTAGGGTCATGGGTGAGCAGGAGCCTATCCCCGTTGACTTTTGGCGAGACGAAAGATTGGTTACCATTTGACTGCGGAAGTAAAATTACCGTCCCTAATCTTTTTTAAATCTCAAAGTAGGAGTGATCCTGACAATACAATCCAAAAACAAAAAGGGCCCTGAGATACTCAAAGAGGTCAGGGGATATATGTTAAAATATCTGGATGTCATATTCAGGAACAAATTCAACTTCTTTGTATTTACAGATGGAAATGTTTGGATTCGAGGCAACACCAATCACAGGATGCGTTACATTCAGTTTCGATGACCGAGTCATACATTTATGTACCACGGTTTTCCTGACAATATCCTTTACCTTATGTATGCTCTGACATGACCTCTGAATGGATTCATGCCCGTGACCCTCGTGAGGATAAGCGGATGAGAAAATGGATGGATGGATAGATTCACAATACATACCAGATACTTTGAATGACCTCACAAGAGACTTTTTTCAATTGGGGAACATATTTCTACACTTCCAACCATAGACTAAATACAGTGAAAAGAGAACTTGCACAAGATATTATATGGATGAATTGTTTAATTTCAAATACTGTATTTTCTGCACGATATGACACATTCAATTTTCTCAAAAGCTGACGTGTGCGCCTTATAATCCGATGAGCCTTATATATGGATCAATATTCTGATTTCTTGGACGTAGTATTTTAAATGTTCTGTAAAGCGCCTTGTTACAGCTGTAGCGGTTGTGAAAGCGCTACATAAATAAAGCTGTATTGTATTGTATTCCCTTTACAAACCAAAAGTTGTAAAAATATCACGGTTAAGGGTAAAGCATGAGCCTTAATGGAGACTTCTTTCTTCTTACTTTCTTTCTTTTCTGATTGATATAAAAATGATTTATTAGATATAAACACATAACACGGGGTAGGACTAGATAAGTTCCTTACTTCTTCCTACTCCCTTGAACATAACTGTGTTGAATGATGACTGATTTCTCTTTCCTTTTTACTATTTTACTTACCTTACTTTCTGTCAAATTATTACTGTGTATGTTTTATGTTCAATAAACAAACGAAACGAAAACGAAAAAAACGAAAACTTTTGCATAGCTCCATCTAGTGGATGCACAATGCAACCGCAGCCACTATTGTCGCTTCTATTTTATAATGCGGTGTGCCCTATATATAAAAACAGTTTTAAAATTGGCCATTCATTGAAGGTGCACCTTATACTCCGAAGCGCCTTATAGTGCGGAAAATACGGTCATTTAACCACTTTATTTTAACCTGCTACACTTTCATTTGGCCGCTGTGCATACCGTTTCTCCAAGAAATTACAGTGGGTTAGTGCGCATGTTGAAGGTGCACATACTGTAAACAGCTTATTAACGAAAAACACACCAAACATTGAGTTTTCACACAAGGCTAAAGCCGTAAAGATGTCAAGGGAAATGTTGATGAAACTCTAAAGCTGTTGTTGTAATGGGAAATGTATTTTGATTCGAACCTTTAACAGTGTGCGTCTGAATTCTGATTTGTCCTAAATATTTTCATTTTCTTTTTCTTTCCAATTTTTTCTGCTTTTACTGCACAGCGCCGTAGCTCAACGACTTCAAACTCAGAGATCTATTGATCGATCGATCTATCGATCGATCAATCAATATATATACACATCCATTTTCAACACTGCTTATCCTGAACAGGGTCACGGGGAGTTGGTGGAGCCGATCCCTGCTGACTTCGTGCAGAAGGCAGACTCTACCCTCAACTGGGCGTCAGTCAGTCGCAGGGCACATATAGTGACAAACGATCATGCACACCCACACACATTCACACCGTCACTGAGTGGGGACTGATCCCACGATATTGTCAGCGATTGCCACACATTTTTTATATACATATATATATATATATATATATATATATATATATATATATAAACACACACACACTTTTTTTTTTATATATATATAAACACACACACACACACACACACACACACACACACAAACAAACACACACACTTATTAATTTAATGTGTGACACTGAACTAAATGGTCAACAAACTGGTATTGGGGCCTCTTCTTTAGCACTTGCTGGAGGAACACTTTACCCAGTGACCATTCATTAATAGAAGTGCACAACCTCTGAGGGTATTTTGCATTATTACACTGGATCATGGTGAAGCCAATATAAATAATGTCTAGCTCATATTCTTTGGGCACTGTGAATACTGCATGTCAACAGAACAGCATACGTGTACAGTAGCACAAAGAAGCAGGCATTGGTCCTGCTTAAGCACATACTGGTGAAAGAGAAAACCTAAGGCACAAATGGTGGCATTTGAAAACAATTTACAGACTATTAAGGGCTCATCTCAATATGTAGCGCTTTCATTTCAAGTGCTTCATCATTCTTGTTCTCTTTGGTTTGTTCCAGAATAAGCCCATTATGTGACGTGTAAGGCTCTACAAACAATGGAAATTCAGACAAGCTTGTATTGCATTCTTTGTCTTCGGCCTCTTCGTTTTCCTCATCCTTGCTCTTCCCTTCATCCATGATAGGTGTGCTACAATCAAAGGTGGGTGTAATCCAACCGTAAGCTTCACTATGCGGACGGCGAGCTTCTTCTGTGATGTTTGTCTTCAGTTCTCGATTCCTGTTGCGTTTGGCCAGCTTAGTGACAGAACCCAGGCGGTTAAAAATGTTGTCCTCAGATGTTGTTTGGTGGTTGGACTGACGGTCGCATTGCTCAGCGCCCCTTAGTCGAAGATTGTTCAACTTGGTGTCGATACTCTCCTGGGAGGAGGTTTTGTAGCTGTTGGTGTCGAGACTGTTGAAAATGGCTCGGCGTTCTGGAGAAAGCATATCCATGGACACCGCACGTTGATCCAGGCCGAGTTGTCGTCTTTCCATACTGCGAATAGTGGCAGCTCGCTGAAGTTTGTCGCTGACCTCGACGCTCATACGCCGCCTCGTTTCTCTCAGCTCTGCTCGCACGTTTGCTTTCCATTCTGCTGCATGAGCCTTGATTTCCACAACCTTGGAAAAATACATAAAATACTTAAGTGTGTGTGATGTCATGTATATATAAAAACCCAAGGGTTTGGGTCAAGTATACATCCTTGAGAAACCAGAAAACTCAAAACTGTGATCGCTAAATGTGAATGAGCGTTGGGTTTTAACTCAAACCACCATCAGGATAATGTTTTTTTTAGGTCGTAAAAAATATTTAAATGCAATTTAGATAACAGATATCATGACCAAAATTACCACTACTATATTTTATATATCACAACATTTCCCAAAGAAATGTTAAAACGGATACAAAAAAAATCACACATATGTCAAAAACATTGCAACACATTATTTTCACAACAATGTGTTCCTTTTGACATTTGACACCCCCAAAAGTTCTTAAAAGACTTCAGATTGCAGTGATTAATTTACCGTATTGGCCCGAATATAAGACGGCCCTGATTATAAGACGACCCCCTCTTTTTCAAGACTCAAGTTTGAAAAAAGACTTTTTGAACACCAAATTAATTTTTATACAGAAAATAATTACAGTACATCTGAAACAAATGATTATAACAATATATTTGAGAGAAAAAGCATGTAATTTTGCCTCATTCACATCTTAATATCTGAACATTTAAATATGGAAACTAAAGTGCAATCACATTCGTGAATGAATGGCTTCTGGTTTTTGAAATGTAAATTACATCATAACTTCTCCTCAGCTGCCGGTTAACCTGGCTGATCTTTGACCCACTTTTCTCCAGATTGTCACTACGTTTCTCCATTTTCTTTTATCTCTTCTATTATTTTCTTCTCTTTTCTCTCTTACCGCTATTTTTTTACTTTTCTACTTCATGCTATTTTTATTTTTATTCTTCGTGACAGGGGTTCACTTTGGCATGGGGAGTGAAGTTCAGCATTCGCTTCAATGATATCTGGCGCCATCTAGCGTCGTGAATGGGTATAACGTCTAGACCCCGAATATAAGACGACCCTCACTTTTTCAGTCTTCTTTCAATGCAAAAAAACATTGATATTCGTCTTATATTCGGACCAATATTCGGGCCAATACGGTAATAGTGGTGGGACTCAACGAAAACCGTCTTTTTCAGTGGTCGTCAACGTGCGGCCCATTGGCTCGCCCTCAATTAAATTTGGGCCCCCCAGATGGCATTGACTGAGAAAAATCCTGATAATGAGGGATGTTACAATATTCATGACATTGAAATCGCCTCATTATAGTTGTGGTCTTGATAAATTTGTTCTTTGTATACAGCACTTTGTATGCAGCGATGGCTGTTTGAAAGTGCTCTATAAATACAGTTGAGTTGAGTTGAGTTCTGTATTTTCGCAGTGAGCAATAACGTTTGCCGTCTTCCACGATACCACATCAAAAATCAAAGACTACTGTAAGGACATGCTTGAAACCACAGATACAGGCTTATCAAAGTTGTAGCATGAAGAGGATACCAATTTCATAACGTGCATATCATTAGCACTTTTTGCAACAAAAATATGGAATATTTTTTTAAAAAATTGAGGCATTTCTGAAAAAAAACAATGTCATTTTCGAATGTTATTTTGAATAACATTGAAAGCCACTTGAAAAATAACTTATTTATTATGGTAGAGTTTTTAACCAATCATATTTCATCTAGCTTGTGTTGCCAGGTTAATTAAACTTGCTCGGAGCCTTCAGATTAAACAGAGCAGGCCCCTGTGCGCTGTAAATGAACGGGCACCGTCAGGTTTCAATAGCCAATCAGATCACGAGTCTGACACTCGTGATCTGTATCCTGTATCCTGACTTGTTCTCGTATGCCTACTAGGGCTAGCTAGAGGGCCTTACGT